GCTCCCATTGAAAGCATTAAAAACCCAGCAAAATGGTTACTTGATTTCTTATCTCGATACAGTTTAAGCATGTACAAAAACAAAATAAAATATAATTTTAGTTGAAATTCCTCGTCTTACAAGTATTAAAAAATATGTAGGTGTCAGCGCGATCATACCAGAAATAGGTACGTACGTGTTTTGAAATATTACCTGAGGGATTTTTTAATCCAGTGGATAGTCCATTCAAAAATGCTTGCTTTGAAGATTTTGTAGAAGAATAAATCCAAACCTTCGCCTGTGTATGCCCAGCGTTGACCCATGTTTCATCTAGGAAGTATATTTTCCTACCTTCTGCACGAAATTTTCTGATTTGTCTTAGATAGTCCCTAACTATTTCATCTTTTTCCAATAAAAGACTGTTTCTTCCTCACTTTTTGTATTGAAACCCCATTTCTTTTATATAATTTATGGAAGGTAGATCTCTTGAAACTTGGCAAGTCATTATCCTCGATAACCAGCTTCACCACTTTATCCACCGTTGGTGATTCATTACGAAAGAAAAAATTTTATAATTATATACAATTCTCATTATGGCGGTTCTGTCTAAGACATCTATGGCATCGTTGATGTTTTTTCTTGGCGGATACTTTTTTGGGTCGACCAGTGATTGGTTTGATCTGTACTTCCGAACAATTCGGTAAACACTTGCACGACTAAAGCCCGATATACTTGCTACTTTGCAAACAATGTCCTGACCACTTGAGTCACTCCTTTCTTGCATTTCGCGTTTATAAATGTTGATAATTATTTGTTTTTTGCTAACGCTAAAATGAAGCCTTTTAGCTCTTTTTTAGGCGGTGTGCAGCTTATATCAACAACTTCATCAGCTGCATCCGTATCAGACATTTTGAGTTCTACGAAATTAAACTGGCAAATCTAATAAGCACACAGTAATACCAATATAAATCTGATGCCAATTCTGTACTATAGATAGATAGATAGATAGATACATTTATTGTCTTGTAGATCATAAAAAATGACATAAGACTCGTCCTAAGAGGGAGGTACATAGTACACATAATTAAAAATAAAAACGAAATACACATAAGTATTTACAAAGTACAAACAGGGACAACTTAATGCGTACAGACATTCACATATAAAAAAAGTTTAAAAAAATATATCACAGTGCGAGGTATTCAGACAAAGAATAGAAACATTTTTCAACTAATAATTTGCGTAGTTTACATTTAAAACTAGGAATACTACTGACATTCCTGAGGTTAGCTGAAAGTTTGTTATATATTCTGATGCAGGTGTATTCCGGTGACTTTTCGAACAGCGTCAGTGTGTGTTTTGGAATACTCAGACTCTCACCTGCCCTTGGATTATAATGTGTGTTGATGTTTCTGTTCTGTATAAATTTTGTTTTGTTTGTATGTGCGAAAATATATATATCTATATATATATATATATATAACAAAAAGTAGGAAAATAATGGGCAAAATCCGCAAAAAGGAGGAAATTGGATTCGAGCAGAAAATAGGATAGGTAACCCGAGCGATACGTATTTCTGCTGGTTGGCTTCATCAGGCCCGAAATGAATGCACATATGAAACTACAAAAGTAGATACACATGCAGACGCATCCGGATACGGGTGTAACCTGAGGATACGAAGATGGAGAGGGATATATATATATATATATAGCATTAACGGCCAGCCACCGGGCCAACCTGCATGCACGGTCGTAACGTCTCCCACTCCATCCTCTGCTGTGTCCTTGGGTCTGTGTAAGGGCTCGACCTGTTCTGCCCAATAACACTCTTGAAATGTATCAGTGTGCTGATCACGCAATGATCATGCTATGATCACTGTTTTGGTTTAGTCTCGTTCTTCGATACATACATAATAGACTAATTGCATATTTAACACCTGTGGCCTTACTATGTATTAGTTATTTTGTGCTGGTGCCGTTTCGGTCACCAGGTGATAGTTCATTTGTTTTTCTCCTTTTTTATATTCTTCACTAGCATACAGTGTTTTGCAATAACAGCCTGAACGGGCACGAACCACGCAGAGATCACGCGAAAATCATCATTAGAATTTTAAGAAGCTCGCGTAAAACCAACAACGCCAAGTCCGCCTGGGGGAGCATTCTCTTCTCCGAGACGATGAGCGTAGGTGACGTGTCTGATACATCCAAAACAAGTGTTAACCTCATGCTCGCGTGTCGATTGAGGGGGAATGCCTACCCCAAGCGGTCCTGGGCTTTCCTGTTTTTAGGCGGTGCCTTCTTAAAATTGTAATAAAAATTATCGCGACACACACACAGACGCACACACACACACTATAGAGTAGCGAATTAGAGAAAACTAATGAACGGTCGCCAGGACAACAGACATCTCAATTGAAAATTTGTCATCACAGTGCCGAAAATTGAGTTAAATTATATATCCGCATTTGTCATATCAAACGGTTGATTTTATTGATATATTATATATGTACATTGCACAATCTTATGTGGGAAATACAACAATCTGACGTAGTTCTTATTCTCCCAGACATACTACGGCGATAAACAGTAGTAAAACCCAAGAGGTATGAGTGATATAATTCATGTAGTTTCCAAGATGCGCTTATCACGACCTCTGATAACCTTAATACCGTAATATCATTGTTTAAAAATGTTCTGTTCGTATTTAGACGTGTTAGATGCATTTTCATACATTCATAATTAATTGCGACATTTTTAAATAATGCTTATCGTATCGGAATAACTGACCTTATTAAGATTTTTTTGCAAACACTTGATTATATTTATACGTTATGTATTTGTTTAAAGAAAAAATAACACGAAGCTTGAATTTCACGAGGTTTGTTTTATCGATGTCACCTCATGGAGCAAAGTATTTTGAAGGTGCTAAGCTTTTCAAGTATTATTTTTGAATTAATATTGATTCGGTTTAAAAATATAATCTATTAAATATGTTATATCCGGCATGTTTGATAAAAATGTTCCAGCTACCTGTATTTTTATCTAAGCTTACATCACAGTTTATAAAAAACATGGAGTCAAGTGGTTTGAGTTTTTCTCTCAGCACATTTTAAGGTAGTGCTTGCAATTGCTCACAATTAATGAAAATGGCTGACAGTTTTATGTGTTCATGCTTTTGTATCGACACATGTTCAGGCAAAGTTTGATAGAAAATGAAGGCCTTGCTCATAACATTATTTAGATGGGCTCATGAGATGCTTATTTTTCATACTTATTTTAGCCCTCATAGGAAACTTCGCTTGAATGTTTTAAAAATCTTATTACAGCGTCTAGTTTTCTAGATTCGAACGATGAAAAACCCCGCGGTTTCCATCGTGTTGATGTTTCCCCATATTGTTATTCTATATATTAGAATACTTATTTATAGTAATGCCTAAAAATTGAGCATCTTTAAACAGTTACTGCAAGACCAGAAGGTACTTTTAATTAGTTTTCGAAATCTTTAGCTAAAAACCTGATAATTCTATAGTTTCTGTTGTATAGTTTGATTTTTTATCTTTTTGATTAAAACAGCATTTCGTAATCCCAATCATGATTACTCTTTAGTGAAAATAGTACTTGACAGTATCATCACTACTCCCTCCAAAATCGAATGTCCTTTTTTTGTTACACTTGCGAAATCAGACAGGCATACATGGAATAGAAATCCTCCTCGTGACCAGATACTAATCAGAAAGTGCCACGCTAAATATTCGCTGCATTTTTCATGGTTTTGACGTAAGTAGATACCGCAAATTTCTAACGTATGCACCAATCGAAAATATCTGAAATCTGCATTCGATAAACATCTAGTTCTTCGAAAAATTAACATGTATCAGTGAACTGTTACATATTCTCAAGTCTTATCTGAGAATTTGAATTGGAAATTGCTCGGATATTTTGGAAATGGTGTGCACGTTTTTCGATAAACAAAACCGTTGAGATACATATACAGCTCGTTAGTATTCTATTTTGATAGTTATGTGATCTTCATTCAAGTGCTTGAGGTTAGCGAATGTTCAGTTGAGGCAATGTTTATGATTAAATCTTCTTTTATTATCCATTCTAAAATCAGTAAATAGTTCCAAACGAACGCATAGTAAAAGCTAACTAAGCTACATGTAAAGGAAATATTTATTAAACGCTTTTCATGATTGTTGCGCATTTTTCATTAATATATTCTGCTCCTCTATCCAAAGTTCCTAAACTATCTTGAATTAGAAAATGTTTTTATTCTTTAGAATCTTAGAAATCTACCTGAAACAAGAACTTTCTATGAAAACAATTTCTTTTATAGAATTATGTCTCCACTAGATTGTCCTGTTTACTTTGCGACAGACCTTGTATGTATACAGTGACTCACAAACAGTGGTGATATGTCAAATAATAACACGTGCGGTTACCATAAGCATTACATCCTGAGTTCCCCCTTACAGGGAGACAGGATGTGGAATCTTTAATTTCGAAATCGGGAAAAATATACAGGGTGTTCCTTAATGACGTGCTAATATTTCAATAGCTTCCTGTTGCTAAAGACTTGAGTCATTGCCGGCATATGTTCGTATACTTTTTTCATAAAATTATTTTCGAAATTATATCCTAGAGTATTAGTAGGTACATCGGTAAAGAACACTCTGTATATTTCTACATGTAGTATGAACAGCATAATCAGTGCATACAAAAATATTCGTAAGAAACTACATCATTGACATCGCAAGTGGGATATGGGCGCCCGTAGGGCCGTAGCCCCCCGTGAGAATCCAGTTGGACATTAAAACTTACACATTTTGCTTGATTTTGTGTACAATTTTAGGGATTTTTAGGATTTTCATAATTATCTAACGTCAACTTTTCGAGAAATCGATCGCTGCAGTTCTACGTGAGACACCCTGTATACTGCAATCAATTCACTGTTCCATGTTTCATAGAACATGACTAAATTGTAGTGTCATTTCATTTGTCTACTTATTGTTCTGCTCCATAGCAAATAAAAACAGTATTCATTCAGACATTTACTAACGCATGAATCACTGTGATAAGCATTGACCGGTTCTAGTTGTATTTTTATTGCTTATAATAACTAAAGGTGTTTCAGTCACATTGAAATCGTCAGCTTACGTGAGAATTGTGTGTTATTTTGAAAATCAAGTATGTTTATTATCAAATATTTATCTAAGGTCATCTCATCAGCTACTACTCAGGTCGTAATTATATAACATCGTAAAGGTGGATTTGTTATCTTCACCAAATGTATTGTTCTATATCTTTTTTTAACTTTTGATAAGGTTTTTGATATCTGCTTTTAGGTCATTAGGGAAAACCCGGGCTAAACGGACATCTGGGCATAGCGAATTTTCTTTTTTTACATCCTGATTATATTATCGCGAAAAACACAGATTTCACGGATTTTCATTAATTGTACATTGTACATGTATATTAACATTCCTGTTTCTAAAGTTAAGAATTCTGAGTTGTATACCAATATGCGGCCAATAAATGTTCTGTCAGATATAGAAAAAGTTTTTGAAGAAATTATTTACGAACAGATCATCGAATTTATTGAGGGAAATATTTTTACAAAATTTCAAGTTAGATTCAGGACGAAAGACTCAACTGAAACGACAACAAAAATGGTTTTAGAGGCCTGGAGGAGATGTATGGACAATCGGAAACATACAGTAACAGTGTTTTTGGACTTCTAAAGGGCGTTTGAGAATATTGACAGGGAGAAATTACTTAACCCTTAATTACTCGCATGAAGAACATTACATAACTGCTCGCATGGGGTCACAGGTGACCCCAAGTTGTAGGATTTTTTTTTAATATATATTAAATATAAAATGAAATCAAACTATTTTATTATTATAGTGCTTTATTTATATTATGATATTTAAGAGAAATAACATGAATTACTATCTAATGAAAAAAATTGAACTTATATAAAATAATAGTTGAAAATTAACAATTTGTACTTATATCAAGAGATCAAGGCAAATTTTTATGATTATGTTAGGAACTATCCGAATCACTTTTCTTGCACTGTTGACAGTATATGTCTGAGTGATCATTGCACACAAATTTTATGCACTTTTTGCATTTAGTCAATACTTTTCGATCACTTTTCCGCGGGCAGTTGTTGCAACGCCCACGTTTTGCAGTGGTTGGTGGGGTGCGGTTGTCCAAGTCATGAACTTCTATAAGTCGTTTCTTTATTACTTTAGGAGTTGAATGGACTTCAAGCCGACGTTTCTGGTGATTATGGACAAGTTCAACGGACAATTGCCGCAAAAAATTACGCCTCATGTGAGTACGTGATTTAGTGGTATTTGCCCGATGTACAACGAGAGCATTTATGCATGCAACGTTTATAAGATGGAAGAAAATAGCTAACGGCGATCGTTTGGTACGCCTTCCTGCGCTGTATGTACCACACAAATGATCATTGGTGTCCACTCCTTCTTTAGTCCTGTTGTAATACATAGTTATTCCAGGCTTCTGCTGATCACCTGAACCTGGGCCGATGTGAGCTCCATGATGCATGGAGGATAACAACACAACAGCTTGATTTGGTTTTGGCACATTTGAAACCATGGTTAGAGTCTTTTGAAATCCGAACAGACAGCTGAATTGACTTCTGTCTGGTAAAATCTCCTCAGGTATATCGGGTTTGTTTTTCTTCAGTGTTCCAACGAAATATCTCTACACCGGTTCCGTCGGTGGCCCAGAGATCTATGAAATTGAGATGTGAAGCTCTCAACACTCCAGACATGATCAACAAACCCAGCAATGCTTTTATTTCTTCAACGTCTGTATCTTTTGCGTCACGTTCCCTTTGAAACTTGCCTCTGACGACATCGATGTACTGATTTGTACATTTTACCAGCAAATTGATAATGTCATCAGAATAAAACAAACTAAAACATTCCAAAGCAGTCTTTGCGGATTTCGCTGACGACTTGACACCGGGTAAGTGTAAAGTTATATTATGTCTTCGTGTTCTTGTGGAGCTTGTTGGTGGAGACTTTGACCATTTTTGTTTAGGACCGTTTCTGCCATTATGTCTGGTAAAATAGAATTTATCATACTGCCCTGCACAGCCGTCGTCCTCGTTGTCTGAAGACTCACTGGAGTGTGCGAACAATTCGTCGATTTCACTAGCACTATTATATCGCTTTGTGTTATCTCTTCTAACTCCGACTCAGAATTTGACCCTCCAACTTGTTCTTCATCAGAAGCCTCAACCAACCAGTTCTCAATTTGTTCTCTTCTATCCATGACGAATTCTGGAAACAGATACAAAACTCATAGAAAAACGTAATTTTTCGGTACTTTCATTTTATAAAACTACACAAAACATATTTATTAAATAAATTTATAAACTGGACATTCAATAATACAAATCGGATCAATAAAACACAAAAAAATACATAAAATAAGCAACTTACCTTTTTCAAAAAAGTAACGTAATTAGTCGCACGGGGTCACTGCTCAAAAGCGCAACGACGTGTCCTTAGACTCCTGTGACATCGTCGCTACTAAAACACAAACGGAAGACGCGCGGTCTCAAGCTAGCGGGGGCGCGGGGAAATTCGGTCCGCGGGAAATCCTTCGTTTTTGAATGCGAAACTGCTTTGACCCCATGCGAGTAATTAAGGGTTAAACAATTGCATCACTACGGATTTGAAGGATCTGTATACAAAATTCTACAAAACTATTTAATTGACAGAAGTCAAAAAACCAAAATTGGATCCACATTATCAAGATCAAAAAATATTTCTGTTGGTATACCACAAGGTAGTAAATTAGGTCCACTACTATTTATTTTATACATTAATGACATTTGTAATATTTTAGATTATTGTAAACAGATATTTGCAGATGATACATTAATATACATATCAGATGGAAATATAGACACTGCTTTAAAAATGCTAAATTCTGACTGTATTCTCAAAATTACAAGACTTGCAAAATAAAGCTATGAGAATAATATCAAATAAAAATAAGTACACCAAAATAAAATCTATGATACAAGAATTGCAGTGGTTGAATATAAAAAATTTCATATCATATTTGGTTCTTATTTTTATATTTAAAATAATAAATCATCTTTTGCCAGAACATTTAGAACACTACATAGAATAGAATAATCATTACCACAATTATTATACATGAGGAAATATAGCTTTTCATTTACAAAACTGCAATAGTAATATAACTAGCAAATCAATATTTCAGAAAGGATTACTTGAATTTAATAAACTAAATAATGATATAAAGTCTACTTGTAATTTAAAGATATTTAAAAGAAAATTAAAGGAATATTTCATGGACAATGAACATTCATAGAGATACAATGTTTTTTCTGAATATCTGTATCTTATGTAATAGTTCAGTTTTTTTTAAAAATGTAATTGTAGCTATCATGCTAAATAAATCTTAATCAAACAAACATTCCTGTAATAAAAGCAGTGTGCTTAAAGTGTTTACCTTGCCGTCTTTCCTATCACTTCTGTCTTTGTCAGGGGTGTAAGCAGCATTGTCATCACCGACTTCTAAGCCTCTAGTCCTTAAATCATCTGACTAAATATTAATAGTGTGAGGCTGAATGGGGAGTTAACCTATTGGGTTATGAAAATAGATGGCAGAAAAAAAAAGGTTATATGATGAAGGAAAACCTCAACAAACTGATAATCACATACACACAATGCAAACCGACAGATTATCATACCTTCGATGTCAGAGACATGGGGCACGATATCAATACTTCATGCCCTCTTTTTATGTAACTATTTTTTTACATTTTTGTCAAAGTGTATATGCTCCTCCCCCCTCTAAGGGCGTCGTCATATAAGTTCTTTTGATGATTTGATCATGTTTTTATGGTTTGTTTGAGCGAAGCTACTGATCATCCCTAATAGTTCCTGCTTATTTCAATACGGTGGTTTTTGTGGATATATGGAATTTGATGTTCTGTCATCTTCCATTACTTATACGCTCAGTTATAAATACAATATCTGTATGAATCATTCGAGAAATATTTCAGCTCCACCTTGCAATAAAATATTTTGCGGTGATAGCGATTGCACTGTTTAATTTACATTTATTGTTATCATTAATACATTGTGTTGATGTGTGATTGCAAATTACAAGCATTAAAGTTAAGTTGACTGTATCTTTAATTAGCAGCGCACACAACTAATGGATTATAAATTTGTTGAAGTTTTCCTTGGAATATCAATATGCCTATGCTTCTGTGGATAAGTTGAAACGTGATGTTGCTTTTATCAGATATTTTGGTGCAGCTGAGGTCGCACACGTGGCACTTTTTCCCATATTATTCAATTTGACTTAAACAAGCAATGTAATGATTTTGATTATACGCATCTTCAACTGCCATAGCTCAAATTCCGATCCAAATTTTCCATGGCAATTTTGCGTGTTGTTACTTTTATGGTACGTACCTACAAAAAGTGTTCCACGCAATCTTTTCATCAATTACTTTCATTTTCAAACCTAAAGTCATACGAACAATAAATTAAACAAGTTTCATAAAAGCAATTGCAAGTGTCATGTAATGGAGTATAATTATGTAGGTACTAAAAAAGTAAAGTGGTGTTCCTTTGCGTTGAAGTGTGCTCGCGCCCTAGCCCTAGGTTTCGTTATTCTGAATTCTGAACTTACAGATCTTCTGTTTAATAATATTTGTAATAATAATCGGCTTTAATGAAACTGTCCAATTCAATATAGAAAAAAGGACTTGCAAATGGTGGCGAAGTTTAGCAACCCGCTACTCTTAGACTTAGCCACCCATGCAAAAAAAACAACGGTTGTTAGATAGCAGATATCAAAGACAATAAAAAGATATGTGTTGCCCAAAAGTTTACTATATATATATATATATATATATATATATATATATATATATATATATATATTTACTAATATTAAAGACAAGAGCAACATTTTAAAAAAAAAATTGCATTATTAGCATATAGTGATCTCAGTCTCAAATAGGTTTTCTCTTGAAGGTTTATGACATGACTGATGAATCTGAGTTTGAACCGGGTATTGTCTTTGAGATCCAATCTTAACAGCTAATTGACTTTCAATTTCTTCTCTTTTATCACCTGAACAAAAAATAAAAAGCTAGATTTACCAGGATTGCACATTGCTCACTGAAGCTTGCCATCGTATAAAACGAAGATGCACTGGACTGGAAATGAGTTGAGCTGTACGCCTCTAGGGGCAGAAATATGTACTACATAAGATCCGCCCACTGCAATGCTCTATTCCGGTTATTTTTGGGTACCTCCTCGTATAATTTGGAAAAAAGTCCAATGCAATTTAATCTATGCCATAATCTTTGATTTTCCGTTTGATTAAAGTACCTTTACTTTGCAGACATGGAAGACGAATGTTTCCCCGCCATTTCAATGAACACGGCCTGCACAAAATTACAGCACGACGAATTGACCAACGAAGAGATAGATATAAAAGATGAGCCGAACAGTGAGACGGACAGCACCCAGTCGTCCTGCCCATCTTCCCCGCATTCCATCTACGTCAATGCCAGCGATCTGCCGTTAGACGTCGAAATGGTAAGGCTAAGCCCTTCCTGTTCTTATAAAAAGACACTGAAGAGTAACTGATTGTAGTTAGTTGAACCGTTATTTGGTACTTACAATGCAACTACATATTTTACGATGATTAATGTGAAATTCATCATTTAGCGAAAATGTATGTATAGCTCACTATATACGCTAAGTTTAATTGGAAATTTGTAATTGAGTTAGGGGTTAGATCATTTAAAAATTCAATTTTCGACAATATTTTGAAGATGACGGCGAAGCAGAGAAGACTAGATGAAGCATCGGGAGAAATCACTTGAACTATGATATTGCAATTTGAGTTTGCAATAGATATATGTTACATAACATATTTTGCACCGCGCCTTTAATGACATATTGTATTATACACATATACATGTACATATAAGCAATTTTAAAGGATCCAGCAATCATAACTGGTCGTGTTTGGTTTTGCGTTTTTCCATTTTAAAGCTACACCGTTTGCAACAGCTGTCAAATGATGTCACGAACTGGCCTTTAGTGACGTCACTATTTTTGACAGCTACGACTAGTAACAACCTTGCTCGGGTGATGGTTTCTATGAAGTTCTTGTATGTCAAACATCAGTCAATGAATGTGGTTTGTCCTGTATGGCTTGATATTTCTAAAGATTAAATCCTACATAGGCCGAGGCGCAAAAGTGATCATTAAAAATGCGTCTATTGTTGCAGACATCATCCCCGTCGCCAACACCTTCCTCAGCAGCCACAACGACGATAGCGTCTTGTAATAGTACACCCACCCTCCCCACCACCACTATTCTTCTAACCACCTCCCCTCATACCGTAATCCCGCCCCGTTTCCATCGACGGCAGCCAATATCGGCAAACACTGTCAAGATCGAACCAGCCCCTTCAGTCGGTCTGTTGTCCGCCTTCCATCACCTGCCGCCCACTCCTCCTTCTTGTTCGAGCGACAGCGAAGGTGGGGATGGACATTCTAGACCCCAGTCGCCCGCCCAACAAGCGATTCTGGTTGGCACAACGCAGAGGAGAGTAGGAGGCAGAGGGGCGGTACAAAGTCAAGGGGTGGGGAGACAGCCTATATGTACGCCGCTCATCAGCTCGCAACCGGTAAGTAAAAATTTTGTGGGGCACTTTTAAAACAACTAGTGTATGCTGAACAAATTAATGCTTCTGACCAGTTACAAGAAAGAATAGATAATGCGTTTCATCAAATTCAAGCCACAACAAATTTTGCGGAAATAGGTTTTTCTTTATTAAAAAGGTGCCGCACTTGTATCCATCAGAATGGTGGTGTTTTTATTGAAATGAAATTTCGATTATCTAATTTGTTTTTTTTATTTTTACGAAAACAATGCACTTTAGGAAAAAACACAAAAGTAATTATTTGTAGCAAATTGGAGGTGAAATTCGAAAAATTGCGAGTTCAAAAAAAAACCGGCGGACTATTTTTATTTGCAAAAATAATGCCACTAATCCCGTGTATCTCCGCTACTGGTGCACGTTAATTTTAAGTACAGACTTTTGAATGTGGAAAATACTTCGGTAAATCTACATACCAAATTTTAGTTCATTCCACTTTACAGTTTTGATATTAAAAAAACGTTTTTTATTTTTAAATTTATCTTTTTAATGAAGCCCTAGAGGAAAAAATGTTACATAGAAGTACCCCCCTTAAACTGCGGTCCTGTGAATGATGTTTTGAATAACCCTGTGTACCAGCTTATTTGTTAAAAGTAAGAGTAAAATTGTTATATCATGAAATTCGCTACAAGTGCGATTAAGTCAACACGAAGAAGTTATTTCAGTTACTATTCCTGCTCAGTGTTGCAGCCATGTTGAAAACCAAGCACGGATATGACTTTACTATGATACAAATTGGTAAAAAAATACCAGATTTAGTGAAAAATTACCACGCCTGACAACCCTGATCAATTCGTAAGCACATCGATGATGACGTGGAAATAAGAGGGTTGACTAAGTCTGGTTGCCGATACGTTCAGCTTGACGCTAATAGAGACACTACGTTTTTGGGTTAGTACTGCTTGTCTGTTAGTGCATTATTGGAAATTGAGCATAATATATTCTGTGATTAAGGTAATTAATTTAAAATTCGGTCAGGAGGCTGTGGCCAAATTTCACAAAAATACTTTTTGACTGACAAAATCAGAGAAAAGCGGTTTCATTTGAAAGAGAGGATATGGTAAGTATTAAGCATTGTGAAAAAGTACTTGGTAATTAAGGCCTTCTGACATGACCGCACCCACACTATACCTCCTTGACATTGCCCCCGTGCGATTTTATTTCCCAAGATGAAATATCACTTCAGACGGCTTAACCCTTTGTTTCCTGAAAACTTTTACATCAAAAAATTGGAAAACATTAATTTTTTATTAGACTATGGTTTCGACATGATACTACTAGGAAACTAGTGCAAGCCAATAAAAACCTGATAACTAAATAACACTTAGGTTACTTTTTATGATATAACGAAAAACAGTTTTTTTCCTATCTTACAAGTCACACATCCCCACCTGGTTCTGTGAGGATCCTTACTAAACTGAATCCAAATTCAAGATGAGATGTAAATAATAACAGTTAGCCCGTGATCTCTCGGTAACAGGTGGCGACAACGCCTCTTATTGGTCAATTCGCCATTAAATTTCAAGCGGCCGCCTGGCGGAATAATGCGCGGGGCAGGGGCAGGGCAGGCAGAGTTGCACTCAGGCCACCGTCCGTCGCGTGTATCACTGCGTGTTCGTGTTTTCGTATTCACCTTGCTTGGTTGTTGCTGTTGTTGTTGTTAAGTGTATTTGAGTAATTTGTTAAGTTTCTGTTTCTGTTAAATACAGTCATCTTTGTTATACAACTCGTTGGTCATAGTCCATCATTCGGAGGTAGCCCTGGATGCGGCCCTGTACGCCGTCCTTGCTTTTGGCAATCACGCATCCATTTTATCTTGGGTGTAAATACACTATAGTGCTACAAAAGGCACGTCGTCTGGATATCCCGTGTTGTGGCATATGCAAACATTGGTCAAAGCGTTTTTCATAAGGCACAATTTTCTTGAAATGTTTTGCTGTAACCTTACTCCGTGAAGTTTTATCACCATTGGCACCGATTAACTCTGAAGCTACAGATAACTTGAAAAATTTCAGGTTTGGAGCCGGGCAATTCGCTTTTTGTTTGAAGAGAATTAAAGAATTCACAACACATATATCTATGAAATGCCACAAAATACGATGCCACCATTTCTTAGATTTGGGGTCTATCTCATACACAGATTTGATCATATCTATTTTGTCAAAGTAGCCCATATGCTGGTTATATTCCTTGACCATCGTTGGGCAGACTACGATTTGTAAATTTCCGTCCTTTTGCTTGCGGGAAACAGTTGCTTCTTCTGAAGGGTTTTGATATTTTCCAAGAAAATACACTATTTTTCGGTCTCTCCACTTTACAAACACCAGTCCATCTTTGCTGACCCTCCAGTCAGATTGTCCTCGGATGGGCAATTCTCTATCAGATACTAAGTCTTTCGAGATTCTTTTTGATTAGTTCTGACAGTGCCGCTTGCATAAATACATTCTGCTTGCAGTGTTTTCTGTAATCGCACAGAGTTAAAAAAGTTGTCAAAGAAAACGTGATATCCTTTTGCTACCAAGTCTCGAGTCAAATCTAAGACATCTCTTTGGCCCAAATCTTTTTCAGGTTAATTATTAGTTTTTCCAACATATATTTGAAATTGGCAAACATATCCATTCTCATCGGATCGAACCCAGACTTTATAACCTCGTTTGATGGGCTCGAGGGGCAAAAACTGCTTTAGAAAACTGCGACCCTTGAATCGAATCATAGATTTGTCGATGGATGGACGTTTTGAAGGGCCATATGAAGAACGAAAGGTTTCAGATAAAGTTTCCAATAAAGGGCGAACTTTATACAACTTGTCATAATTTGGCGAGTCGCGGCCAGGCATCACTGAATTATCTGCTAAATGCACATTTCCGAGATGCCAAGCAAACCGATCTCTAGACATTGCTGAACTTATGTAGTGATCTCGTAATTCCTCTCTAGATGACCAGTAATCGACATAACTGGGCAACCTTTTGATTTCCATCAATATATTCATTGCAATGAAAATTTCAATCTCTTTCGCAGAAGTTGGGGTAAAGGAAGAGTTTGTTTCAAAAACAATTTTATCAATTAAGAGTTCTGGGAAACAAGTATAAAAAAAATCTACTGGTTTCTCCAGATCGTTTGGAATTTTAGGTCCCGTTTCCTCAGTGAACTGCTTGATATTAGTAACGCAAAATGCCGTTGATTTGGTCCGGGTTGTCCTTTTCCCTAGTTCTCTTTCCCTCAAAATAGAAAGAGGAATATTGTCTTTCTCGTCTGAGAATGCTTCATCACCAGCAATATTCTCAGAATTGTCGACTCTTACAGGTTGGTCTGGTTGGTCGTCTCCAAATATTATTGGCATATTCACTACTCTGTTCATCTGACTCGCCAGCCGAAGGAATGTTCTCAAATAATGCATATAAATCATCCGACGACATATTCTCCAGCTCTCTCAATGTAAACACTTCTTTTCCTGAAATAAAAAAAAAATACGTAATTTCCTAGTGGTTTCATGGTGAAACCGGCATTTTGTATCTTCGATAAGTATTGTAAGTTGATAACTTTAAGTAATAGGGAGCATTAATTATCGCTACAAATGTTTTTAACATTTTAAATTAAAGAATAAACTTACCTGCCATAGCGAAATGATCTAAAAACCACCAGAATTGCTTACACCACTAACCCAGTTCAAAACACGTTCTATTACCGACTAATGCATGAGCAACGCGAATGCAAATGGCGAAGCGCAACAAAATTTCAAGGTGGGGGGGAGCCTTTACGTCATATACTGTAAGTGGTTTCAAGCATATGCTGCTAGGAACGTACCAACAAAGCTTCTAAGTCGTTGACGGAAGAGACTGCTGTGAAGTTCGATGACAAAGTTTGTGTTTACTGACAAATTCCAGAAACTTAATTACCACTCGACGCATATGACTTGGTATCGCTGAAAGAATATCGTTATTTCAATGTTTTAAAAAGGCGACATTCATCTTCGATGTATACTTGTGGCTTGCAGATCACTTCCAATATCTAGGGTGGTAAACAGAAAATAAATAAGGTTTTATCCAACACAGTATATTAAATCTCCAGGATTCACATTTCAAGAGTATATATCAGAGAATGTTACGTATATGAGCCTGGTTGTATGTGTTATAATATAAGTATTCTATTTATTTACAGAAGGGTTCAACAGGGACTCTGATACTTACCGAAGAGGAGAAGCGCACCCTGTTAGCAGAAGGTTACCCAGTTCCTACCCGCCTACCGCTCACGAAAGCCGAAGAAAAATCGCTCAAAAAAATCAGAAGAAAAATCAAAAACAAGGTAAGTGTTTGAGTATTGTGTTATTTTAAAATATACAGTAGCGGACAAAAGTTTGCAAACATTCTTAGTAATTTTTAAAAAGTGCGCTAATTTTTTATTCTTTATTATTAAGGACTATTTTTTTCTCATATAGTTTGCTTACAGATACAAATGACAATTTGTGTTTGCTGTGGTACTACAGACGAGCATTAAATTACCTTCATATTATTTTATGACCGAAAATAAGACGACAAAAGTTTGGAAACATATTTTTTATTAAAAAATTAAATGCAACAACTCTACAAAAAGATTTAAAAAAATACTTTGTAGCTAATGTTTGGTAGCATAGCCTTTAGCATTCAACACTGCCTGACTCTGCTGCTTATAGAAGACACCAATTTTTTACAGACGTCTGTTGGGATATTTTGCCAAATATTTTTTACATAATCAAATAAATCGTTCATATTTTTGAAAGTTTTTCTTGTCAGTTGTCTTTTAACATGCTCCCAGAGATGTTCTATAGGGTTTAAGTCCGGGGATTGCGAAGGCCAGGTAAGAACATTTTTTAGTCTTAACCAGTCCATTACGAATTTTGAGGTATGCTTGTGGTTATTATCTTGCTGGAATGTCCATCGTAAAGGCATTTCTCCTTCAGCAAAAGGGAGCATGTGTTTATTAAGAATGTCTTTGTAAAGTTTTTGACCCATTTTCCCAACAATTGAAACACCGTTCCAGAACTAGAAAAACAGCCCCAAACGATGATGTGGCCTCCACCGTGCTTAACTGTTGGCAACTGATACTTTTTGTCGAATCTTTTTCATATTGGACGTCTCACATATACCGTACCGTCAGAAGTTAAATTTGCTTTCATCGCTCCATAAAACTATTCCATTGTTGTTCTGTCCAAGTTAGAAGAGTTTTAGAAAATTCATGCCGAGCAATACGATTTTTTGTTTAAATAAGAGGCTTTTGCACTGGACGACTACCAAAAAGTCCAAAATTCACCAAGCGTCTCTGCACTGTCCTGACAGAAAGATTCTCTGCACCCTCTTCTAAATTCGTTTTTTTTTTCTTCCGCATCTGGGCTGTGTTGCTGCTGATCCGTATACTTAATATTTACTAATAATTTTCGAAATCGTCCATTTGATGTCAACATTTCTGACACCACTTCTAAATAATTCAATTACTTTGTCTGTTAAATCTTTTGAAAATTCTTTCACTTTTGCCATTCTCACTGATGTTAATATTTACCGCACGCAATATCTGAGTATCGCAGAACGAATAAATACAGCAAAACTGAAATGTTTCCATACTTTTGTCGTTACAAAAACTGTGGTATTTAAAAAAACGCGTATTTTTATTTTCAAAGAATTTGATTATTGATAAGATAAACCTTGTATTATTACGGGAGCCAAAGGTAGACTTTAATATTTGTATTATCTGTTCCTTCACAATTTTAATTTAGGTATATGAAATAGTTCATGTAACGTTAATATTTGTTTCCAAACTTTTGTCCGCTACTGTATAATAGTAAATATATATATATATATATATATATATACATATAATAATAAAAAGTGGAAGATACAAGCGGGCATATATGTCGCATATAACGTTACCAAAGGTTTTGTCTATCTCGGAAGTACAGATTAAGTTTTTTTTTTTTTTTGAAAAATTTTGGTTTCAATATCTGTGGTAGAATCCCAAATTCTTGTTATAAAAAAGTTATTTTTATTTAGTAATAAATCAGCTCTTTGACACTAGAAAATGTGAAAAATAATCAATAATGCCTGTTTACTACAATGTTTGGTTTCATGTCGAGCAATGTGAAGTATACACCACTGTTATGTCCTTAAAAAATCGGAAAAGTCCTGGGTTCGATGGTATTAAAAGCGAGCATTTGAAAATTGTAGCCGAGGACATAACAGAACCACTCACTTACCTAATCAACAAATGCTTTGAATCTGGCATATATCCCTCAATTTTAAAAAAAGGTAATATAATACCGATACATAAATCAGGAACAAAAACAGATGTTAACAACTATAGACCAATATCAATAATATCCAGTGTAGCAAAGATTTTTGAAAAAGTTTTATCTACTAGAATAAGTGAAAATCAATATGGATTTACAGAAGGGAAGGCTACATCGGACGCAATAACTAAAATTGTAAATCAAATACATCAAAATATTGATAACAGAATCCCTTCAATCTGCATTTTTGTTGATTTAAAGAAAGCTTTCGACACAGTTAATCACAAATTATTATTAGAAGCATTGGAGAGAATTGGTTTCAGAGGAAATGCGTACTCACTGATCGAAAATTATTTGTCAAATCGCCCACAATCTGTGCAGATATCAGGATCATTTAGTAAAGAAATGTATATTAAGTGTGGTGTCCCACAAGGAACTGTCTTAGGTCCGCTGTTATTCAATATATCTTTAAATGATATTTTTCAAATTAATTGTGTTGGCAAAATAACTATTTTTGCAGATGATACTGCAATATTATATGAAGGTACTGACTGGTCTGATCTGAAAAATGTAATTGAAAATAATTTTATCAAAATTATTCGGTGGTTTAACAGTAGAAAATTAAGCATTAACTACTCTAAAACACATTTTTTACCATTTGGATCTTATGCTAGACATCTGCCAAATTACACAAATTTCTCCTTCAACATTATATATCAAAAAATGCAAATTAATAGAGTGCCCAACATAAAATACCTTGGAGTGGTCTTGGATCCTCACTTACGATGGGACATCCATGTCAATCATATTTTAAAGAAAGTTAGATTTGTATCCTACAAAATTAAATACCTTGGGAATATATTGACAGAAAAATATCTTCGAACATTATACCATGCACTGATTGAGCCTCATCTCACATATGGTATATTAGCATGGGGAGCTGCATGTTCCTCACATATCTATAATTTAGATGTTTTTCAAAAAAGTATTCTAAAAATGATATTTAAAAAACCGAAACTTTATCCCACTGAAAAATTATACGCAGATGTTCGAATGTATGATATAAGACAGCTTTATTTCTTACACAGTATCACTCACTACCATAAATTTGTAAACACCGACCAAAAAATTAAACATAATCATTATAACAGGTACAAAATTCGTGGCACAGTAGTTCCTCAACCGCATAAATCTATAATGCAGCGATCATATCTCTATTTAGCGCCTAAATTTTATGAAATTATACCTAAAGACTTAAAAGATTTACGTTTCGGAAATTGTTTCAAAAGAAATTTAAAAAAGTGGCTACATTCTATATCTAGGAGTAAAATTCATAAACTCATAAATATGAACATCAACTAAATACATAATCTACTGTAGCTAATTTTTGTCCTTTTTTGTCATTTGCATTCTACAGTTTCAACTTAAATTATTGGTCCATGTACAGGCGATGCCTTCTATTGGACCTGTTTTGATTTTATATTTATTTACTCATATTGTTTGTTATCTTTGTACATTGAGTGAATAAATATTATTATATTATTATTATTATGTCATATTCTCAATCATAAATAGCGTAGAAATTACTGTAGCCTGCTAAATCGACACGCGGTATTTCATGGCTTAATAGGAATTTTCATTATATTCATTTTATTGTACTTTATATTCTCCAAATGCCGCAGTTCTTGGAGTTAATATACAGGGTGGCCGATATGTAACTGACTGGTTTGTATCTTGAATATTTGTGTAATGAAATTAATTTTTTCTTCTTAATATTTTATTCAAACTTAGAAATTATGTATAAAAAATAATAATAGACAAATTTCCGCCTCTATAAGCCGCGCAAACCTGAGCCCTCTTGATTACATTTTCCATCACTTTTTGGTAGGTTTCGGGAAGAATATTTTCAATCGCTTCCGTAATATTGTTCTTCAGCTGCTCTGCAGTATTTGGTTTGTTGGCATAAACCCTATTTTTCGAAAATCCCCATGAAAAAAAGTCAGGAGCCGTTAAATCCGGTGACCTTGGTGGCCAGTTGACATCACCAAATCGAGAAATTAAACGTCCCGGAAATATTGGTCGCAAAAAATTCATTGTTTCCCTAGTTGTGTGACAAGTTGCTCCGTCCTGCTGGAACCACATGTTGTGCAGATTAAATTGTTGGATTTGAGGAGCCAGAAAGTTTTGCACCATATCACGGCAGCGCTCGCTAGTGACAGTAAGAGAATTACCTGCAGCGTCTTCAAAGAAGTAAGGTCCAATGACACCTCCATACCACCAAACACCGCACCAAACTGTGACTCGACGAGGATGTAGTGGGAGTTGATGATGACACGAGGGTTCTCTAATGCCCAGATAGGACAATCCTGCTTCTTAACAAATCTGTTCATATCGAAGTGGGCTTCATCGCTCATTATCAGTTATCGGTAACAATAGTTATTTTGGGTATTAAGCTGCAATATTACATGTATTGCCGTGTCACTAGGCTGTAGTTCTTGGGTTAACTGAATTTTGTCGCAAGCGCGTCTTTTTTGAAAATAGTGCATAATGACGCGCGACGAATACCCAGTTCTTGAGAACGATGTCTGGTAGACGTCTCAGGGCGCTCCACTACACTTTCATTAACTCTCTCGATATTTTTCGGAGTACGAAGAATTCGGACACGGCCCCACCTTGGCAAGTCTTTAACTTCATCTGTTTTTTCAAATTTTCGCACCAACGGAGAATGGTGTTGACACTGGGCACATTATTTCGACCGAAATCTGGTCATAGCTTCCGAATCGTTGCAACAATCTACTCATTATTTAAGTAAAACGTTTTCACAATACGGATGCGTTGTGGGATAGTGTAGCGCTTCCTGATGAATTGCTTTAATCAACTATTACGGCGCCACCTACTGAAATGCGTGTATCAAAAATGGCGCGCAATTTAAATCAGTCAAGTATGTGATAATTATGAACCATCCAGAAAACATAAGGTGTAAACTCTGTCTGTATCAATCTTATTATTGTCCGCAGATCTCAGCGCAAGAAAGCAGAAGAAAGAAGAAGGAATACATGGACCAGCTCGAACGTAAAGTAGAACACCTCGTCTCGGAAAACAACGAGTACAGACAGAAAATCGAAAACCTGGAGGATTCCAACACCAACTTGCTCACACAGCTTCAGAAGCTGCAAGCGATCGTAGCTAGAACTCACCCGCAGATTATCAAACAACTGAAGTTGGCTAACTGAAGCATTAGAAGTTAGGGCGCACGTTTCGAAGCCTTCATAAGAGATTGATACAAGTACAAAATGTTAAGCGGATTTGTACTTTAACAGAGTCATATTTCACTAATTTTGTTGATGTTAGTTGTTTTGGAAATGCTTGTTATAAATTCTGGAGGGATTAAAATTTGGGGATTATTGAAACTGAGAGTTGTTGTTTTGTTTTTATGTTTGTTTAGATTTATTAGGTTACAATGTCTTAATTTTATCGAATGCTCCTGTGGAAATTCTAGAATCGGTAATATTGCTGGTGTATAGCAGTTAAGTACCTCTCAGGGTCACGTACGTGGAAAGAGTTATCAGTAATTTTTTTTATCGAAACATTTTATTGAAGTAGACGTTATCAAAAGTAGTCATTTTCTTACTTAACATATTTGGAAGCTCTTTAATTTTACTTATTATGGTTAATTTGTTTGTTTGCTGAAGATTTATTTAGCATTAATGCTACAATGTCAATTTTGTATAATTATTCGTTTACACGTTTTTTTTTTTAATCAATTTTCTGTTTTCTTTCAATATTTCTTTCAATTTCCTAACTCTTCATTTATAACATGTTCACATAAAACTTATTACCCCTCCAAAATTTGCTACAAGCTTTTCTGAATATTTTTTGTACGTATAGATATCTGCGAAGTGCATTATGTATATCAAAAAATGATGGAAATTTTAAAAATGTATGCATTGAAGATGGATATAATATGCTCATATCTACAAATAGAACATCCATAACAATATAACACTAACAAGATAAGCAAAAATGGCCTTGTTTTCAGTTTCGACTACGTCGATTTCTGTTTGGAAACCGACTGCAACTTGCTTTTCTAAAATACTTTTCTGATTATTTTTTGAGGGAACACCCGTGTAGTCTTCCAAAAATTAGATGCATTCCATATACGAACCAGTTTTTGTACAAATAAAAGTTACAAATCGTTTACAAGGCTCTTCGCAGAGCTTCAATAGCATATTGGTTTTCACGTACATTGTGTAATGTGTGATTATATACTTGTATAAAATTTGTATATAACATCAAATACGGACTTTTTGTCATATTTTCGCAGCGCACCCTATATTTAGATGAAGTATTTCCACGATTTCAGGTACTAAATATAGATCACCTATTAGATACACCAAATGTATTACTAAGCAGATTCCTACTTCGCAGGTAAGCATAACGTAAAAACTAAGTTTTCTATCATATGCTAACACCGGAAGTTCGTCCATTATGTTCGTATTAAATCTTTTGTACATTTTTATTAAAAAGCTAATATGGGACCACAGCTTGTGTAGAATTAAAAAAAAATTCACTTAACGTGGATAGACTGAACATTTTTAGCGTTTTAATGGACAGTTTGTCGCAGATAGTCATCATTTGATTGTACGATGTCTATTTGTTTTAGACTAATTATATTAGCTAATTTTCCCGAAATAATTGTGAAGTCTGGTTTGATTAATACAAGTTGTTCAATGAGGTATTTAAAAAAACTTTTTATTCGACACAACAAAGTATGAGAAAACGTGTTTTTTGGGATTCAATCGATAGTGTTGTCAGGAACCAAAAAACTCTTCAAATAAGATTTTTAGGTATTTATGAAACCTACAGAATTAGGCCATACGTAAAAAGATTCTCAAAAACTACTTGACCAATCGACTCTAATTTTGTTGTGGTTATTTAGAGGTGTGAAGCCTACGAATTTGAAGAATTTCAAGTATCTGCGTTGAAACTATCGTCGATTACCAAGTGCGAAAACCTGCATCTTGTCTCGATTTTCGGCCGTAACTTTTTTATTATTAGTCGGATCCTTTTATGTGTGGTATCATTCTGTGAGTCTCATAAATACCTAAAAATCTTATTTGAAGAGTTTTTTTGTTCTTGCCAACACTTTCAATTGAATCCTAAAAAACACGTTTTCTCATTATTTGTTGTCGAATAAAACCAGACTTTACAATTATTTCGCAAACCAGGGATATTTTCGTCTAATATGCTTAGAGTAATTCTTGACATTATACATGTAGCATTGACATTTAACTGAAGTTTGCAATATATCGCATCAACGTTAGAAATTCAGATTCAAATTCCGGCATAAAACGGTTTTTTTTATAACTACTTTTACAGTTTGATATTTTGACATGATCTGCGACAAACATTTCATTAATGCAGTGTCATTAGTTTTTTGCCTATTTATTTTAACTTTTTGCAACCCTATAGTTCTTTTATAGCTAATTGACTATCAAATTAAGTTTGAAGTGATAACTGAAACACATGAGATTTCGTGTTTTAAGATACGATTAAGTGCAATTATAATTAAATGTTACACTCACATACATGGTGAAATTTAACAATGAGGCATAGTTTTATATATTTTGAAAAAGAAATTTAATAACTGGAATATTTTATATAGACATATTAAGAACTGCATTTTATATGTATATATTTACATGTTATGATATTCAAAGTTTAAATATTTTAATATTGTTACACAGATAATATAGTGCTGGAAAATACTTTTGAAATCAAAAAAATTTTCAACTATGTTTTAAATGTTTGTAAAACATTTAGTAGTATACAAGATTTTTGATGAAACATCCCTGTTTGCTTGCTGTAATTTTTAAAACTTTTTGTCAATATTGTTTGTTGTTCGATTATCGATTATGGGACAAGAAGGCGACCTTTCATCGGAAATCAGAAGAGTAGCAGAATATTCTGTGTATATACGTGAAATAGAAATGGGTATTTGATACAATATTGTTAACGTAGAAATCAGTTTTTTAGATTTCGTCAGTCAGGGGTTAAATAAATTTGTTATAGGTAATTTTTTCGTAGCGTATATTTTTCTATTGTCGAAGAGAGTAATAATAGTCAATTCGTGTATTATCGATTTCAAATAGCTTTTTGTATGTCGGAGTAAAATCGTTTAACGTCAAGGTTTGAATATATGAGTAAGGGCTCGCCAAATGTAATTAGACTACTGAAAAAAATTTAGGGAGACAGACAAAAATCCAAATTTTTCGGTATTTTTGAGAGGCTGTATTTTAGTGAAAAATGGTCGTATCTAGACTTTAAAAAAGCATTTTCAAGTTCTAAGGTTCTACTTTTCATGTATTTTACCAGAAAATTTTTAGGAGCAACGGTTCTCGTGCAATTTTTACAGGTCGCACAAGAAAATTTTTTTGAAAAATGTTTGCCTTATTTTTAGTCCACAAGCATGAAAAATTTCTGTTAGGCCTGTCATATGGATCAGATAACCTGTTTATTCAACTTCAATATTATGTTTTTAAAATACCGAACCGATCATTTGGCGCGAAGAGATTTGAATGAGAAAGGATCATTTTGTCATCGACTATATCTATATCTCAGAGAATGTAAGGGTGTTTACAAAAACTGGAATAAATCTTCAAACTTTTTCAATTGTTTTCTTTAAAATAGAAAATGTTACAGATATCCAGTACTGACAACAAAAGAAGAAAAATGATTTTTCCATTTTCTACCAAATTAAATGATGTATTGTTACAAAAATTTTGTTCCTTTGATTCCTTCCAAATTTTGAGAAACCACACAATGGATCGATCTGCGTTGACTTTTTTAAAACCAATACCAGGTAAACCAATGAAAATCCTCAAAGCTTGCGATCAAATTTAATTTTTGATATATTCCACTTTTCGGAAATACCCTTTTCCATTCTCTGTGCGACCACTGGTCATCGAGGTATCAGTGATTGATGACAAAGGGATCCATTTTCATTCAAATTCCGATCTTTCCGCGCCAAATGATCGTATCGAAATTTTAAAAACAGAATATTGAATCTGAGTAAACAGGTTATCCGATCCATATATTGACCTAACAGAAAATCAATGTTCAAGCCGGTGGACTAAAAAGAACAAGTAACAACATTTTTCTTGCGCTATCTGTTACAATTGCGGGAGAATCGTTGCTCCTAAAATACTTCTGCAAAAAAACCTGAAAACTAGAATCTTAGAGCTTCAATATGCTTTTTTTAAGTCTCGATACAATCATTTTTCACCGAAATACAGCCTGCCTAAAATCGCCGAAAAATTTGTATTTTTTTTGTCCCTTAATTTGCTTGAGTAGCGTATCAGGAATTACATTTCTTCAACGATTCCATCAACCTTCAGCAATCTTGCAGAAACAAGACAAACAACAACACCACCTGAATTAATTGAATTCCTTCACGAATTATTTTTTTAAACGGTCAAGAACATCGTTTTTGGGACGACCAGAGATTCTTTCTCAGTCTCTCCTTTTTAGCAAATGTAACATATGAACTGTACAAGGAAGCGAGGAACATTCTGATATACCCATAAAACCCTTATCAGGTGTTGCCCTGCTTATCATTTAGCCTAGTTTTAGCGATACGTTTGATCTATGCAAGAGATTATTTATCTACACTGAAGTATGGACACAAAAGTAACTGAGCCATATCAAACCACAGCATACATGCTCGATCAGAAAGCACAATCGGCTGAGTAATTCAAATAATTGGCAGACGTCCAAAAACGCCATGTAACATGCAGCCTTAAATACAATATTTTCCCGTAAACTGAAGGGACTTTGAGACTGTTTGGTATTTGTATGTATGCTGTGTGGCTATCAAGAAAAAAATCGATATATTTACCACCTCTTTAGTGAACGTTAAAGTATTGAAATGATGCATTTTTTGTAGCTGAAAAATGAATTTTATATATTTATTATGATATGACGTCTTATCATGCATTTTTGTGTGTTTTATTATTTATATGAATATTTTATAAACACGGATGGTATAGAACGCGAGATTCCCTCTCAGTTTATAAAGAGGGGGATTCCGTATGATTTTTCTTTGTTTTAGTAATGATTTTTTTGTCGGCTTATTTGTGCACTCTGGGTACCAAAATATAGTGTTGTTCTTATATGTAACAAACATACAAGATGAATAAAAATATGAATGAAAATGTTGGTTTTGATTTATCCTAATTCTGTTAAGGCGAACAAATTTGGATATTTTTGTATGGAAAGAATCAGGAATACATCAAGATCCATATTATCAGTCGCAGCTTACTAGCAATTAAGAGTATAGCCCATACAAATATACCAATTTAAAAGGTATGCTTAAAAAATATTATTCAAAAACTATAACAAATCAATGAATTGATCCAGCTATTTCGTAGTGACTTTCCCACAAGATACAAAATTCGGAGGTTGACGAATCTAATCCGAATTTTCATCTCGCTATCTAGAATGCTATTTTTTACAATCTGCGTCCACGGGGCTCTCGCATGAAGAATGTGCGAGGCAGTGGCGCAGGTACATTGGGTGGCACGCGGTGCGGAAGTTGGTGGTGTTACCCCATCGAAAGTCAAAAGCAATACATATATTTTATATTAGAAATAAAATCTCTTTTCTCTCTTCTCTCAGAAATGACTTCATCAAACTTTCTTGTATTGCCTCATGTTCGATGGCTAATATACCAAGATTGCTAGGCCGCGATGGGGCCATTGTTGCCTGCAAATAGTTTTTCATTAATTTTAGTTTACTGAAACTCCGTTCACATGAAGCTACGGACACGAAAACTGTCATGAGCAATTTTAGTACAATCATAAGATTTTGAAGAGATTCTGTAAAATCAGATTATACAATAAACTTTAAAGAATCTAGATATACCTAATCAGAAACTGTAACATTAGTGGCTTTTAAGTGTCTTTGCAGTCTTGGAATCACCAAAAGTAATTCTGTGTCTGAGACCTCATCATAAAAGTCAGCAAATTTGGGTGTAACTAATTTCAGTTCTTCAGTATTCGCCAAAAGCAAACTACTTGTTCGTACGATCTCAAACAATGAAGCTAGGTCTTGAAGAGACTTCGATCTTGTCTGGAGTTGAACTCTGAAAAAGTTGAGTCACCGGGTGGGTGACACCCCAAAAAAGTTGACACCCGGTGCGGCCAGCCTCCGCCGCCCCCTTTGCTACGCCACTTGTACGACGTCCTTGAAAGGACTAGGGAAATTTGCTTTGAAAAAAGTATCCAAATCAAATCAATGTCGTCCTGTCATTCAGAAACAACTAAACAGCTGTGCTGCCATGTTGTCAGATTTTAATAGATAATTTGAGAAACTCTGTCATATTTGCAGGTACGTTCCGACTATAGCTTCCTATATCTTACTCTCTAGACTGAAGATAAGCTCACATAACTCGTCTCAAATTTTGCACACTTTTAAAAACAACGCTCAGTAGCAGTAGAAAGCGATCATAAAGTAGTAGCTGTAATTTTAGTCATATTTTAGTTTTGCTAACTGGAGCGGGACGGAACTAGACACCATAGCTACCAGAGTAAAAAAATGTCTTGACAGGGTTTTACTCCGTGTAGTGTTTTCTAGCGGCAAAGTAAACAGGTCACAGAATTTGACTATGCCTGGACGCTTCTCCTAGCATTAGCTACTAACTTTAACGATACATCCTCGGGAAGATCCGTAATGTGTTCAAGTCATGATCTTAAGCCGCGTGCAGACCGAAAATCCAACGCCGAGCAAACGAATGCAATCACATGTGACGTTGGCGTTTGTTGTTGGAAGGTATTCTGTAATACCTAAGAAAAAGAAGAAACGGCGTAGACGTTGGTGGGTAACAACACCATTTAAAAATAGGGCTTTGTATAGTGGCAGTCACTTACTAGAGGAACTTCAAAGTGAAGATGGTGGGCATTTTGAAAATTTCTCTTCTCTCATCGAATGCAGAGAAAGGAGTAAATACTAGATGCGCAACAAATCCTGTCCAGATCAAATCAAACCTCCTTTCGATGTATACCGATCAAGGAGCGAACGCAATCGAACGGCAACGTTGACTTCGGAAACCGGTGGCTTATGTTAGCTCGCGACGTACACACCAATTCGAACACCTCCAAATCTGTAACCCCTTTTTCTTTGGCTTGCGTTAGAATCTCGGTCTGAACGCGGCATTATACTTTCGTTAAAAAGAAAGAATTACTTTGAACTATCAAACGGTCTAACTTGGCAACAATGTATCATGATCCTGAAGTTTCCGAAAACTTCAAAGTCAACACTCAACATTAGACGTGCTGAAAGTTGTTATAAAAATACAGTACGATCAGTCTTACGTGTTTTGTGAGTACGATCAAGGAGAAATAAATAAACGTTTTTTCATTCAACCTGAGTACAAATGCGTCGTTAGACAAAGTCGATGGTGCGTCGTGGATGTATCCTTTTGACCGTATTTTCTTTTTTAAGTTAGCACTTGGCCCATACGACAAATTCTATGAACCCATCCGACCAAATTGGAGACTCAGACGGAGCTTCGAGGTGAGTTTGTCGCTCCCAAATGATTAAAATGCACGTCTACGTCTAGTTAGGCATCTTTCCAGAAGTTTTTTCATCTGATTTAAAGGTTATGTTTGCTATACTAATATTGTTTGTCATTGCTATCTAACGCAGAAACAACGTGCTGCAACAAAGATAATAACGTTTGTCTCTGTAGAAAAGTGATCTGCATCATTTACAGAGCCTCATGGTGCACCTTAAAGTATTTGCCTCCTAAAAATATTCATTTAAATCAGCACTGTTGAAAGCTACAACTTAGATTTGTTCGAGAAACCATGGGCTTTGATAACCAGAACAGGTAGATATTGGAGCCCGTTTTTCTAGTTATGAACAGGCTTTGTTCATAGTTTTTCGTTCTATGGTGTGATCAATTGATTATTTGTAACACAGCTTTCAACACTGCACCTTCATATTTATGGTCATAACACATATTTTAGGACTAATCCAGAAGCATCGTCGAGCAAGTCAGAGGCTGTTGATAACGAATCAGATTCCAATCCGCCATCTGGTGAAAATAAGGACGAAGTTATGAAACGTGCAGCAGCCAAGAAACTTATTGAGAGATACTTTTACCAACTTACTGATGGTTGCGGCAACCCAAGCTGCGATAATAAATACTGTGCTTCCAGTGGAACTGTAAGTGAAGGAAGAAGAATATTATAAATCTACAGCTGTTTACCTAATAGAAAAATGCTGGGAATGAATGCTTGCTGCCAAATTTGATATGTGATAACACAGAAATAGTGTGATTCACTTGAACTTTACATTCAGATGCTTTATTTAATTATATTTAATAGATAACTAGGCATCAGATAAATCATAACCATTGCTCAGATGCTATGGCGACAACACCAGCATCTGTATTACAGACATATGCCAAAAATAATATCTTAATAGGTTAGTTTGGCTATCAATGCGGCTGATAATATATGGAGTCTCAGTAAGAGAGGTCTTAACAAGAATTATAAAATACTTGTTATTCTAGTTCTATATATTTATGTGAATACATTCTACTGTATTTGACCACACTGTCCCTTTATTGCAATTCATGTAAAACTAATCTGCATTTCATTATGGAATAGCATAATCTGATATATAAATTCTACATAGAAATATCTAAATCCAGCCAACTATTAATGAATTACTACAACATTATTGTAGTTAAAACCACTGTCGCCAGATGAGGCTGCTGCACAGGCAATACAGCTGTTTTCTCAAGATGCAAGGTTGTGTGAAAGACATCCAAATAAAATCGCTAGAAAACATGGAAATATATTAAATGATAAAAAAAGTGATGGTGAAGAGTTAAGCCCACAAGGTGATATGCCCACAAATGATGTCTCTCAGGCTAGTGATATGGATAGTAAAAACAATCTAAGGTATAACACAGGTATGTATTACTTAATTCTTTTGAAATATCAACAGCAAATTTAATTCTTTTTACCTAGTGAGATTTAGATTTAAAATTATTCAACTAACACAGTGTTTCTCAACCTTTTGCTAGTTATGCGCCAATTTTCAATCACCATTCTCATCCTTCCTTCCGTTTAACTTTCATATGATAAGCTTTACTACAGCCTTGAAAATAAACCTCAAACAGCACCTACTTATACTGAAATCTGCTACAATAAGCATTAGCATGCAATATGGCCTTTAGTTTTATTGCACATCCTCTATCCCCAATTTTGGTACTTTTTTTTTGACTGAAGGGGAATGCCAGGCTAAGAAACCCAAGGATACAAATTGTTTTATTTATTTTAAATTATTCTGCATCAGGCAATTCTAATATAAGTTAAAAGTAGGTACGTAATGTTGTTCCTGATGAGTGACATGTCACAATTGCAATAGTTTAGTGTTAGTCACCAGTGACAGACAAATCAGTCAATGTGTTAACTGGGCATGTTCATAGCTATGATACAAGAGTATCTGTTTAGCTGTTTGCAGTTGCATTGCTCATTTGAGCTTTGCTCTTGAAATCAGTTGTTTCTTGGGTCTTTGAGTTGACTTGCAATTTATTGTTTTATAGATTACATTTTTAGTTCATTAGGTTAAATAATTTATAATTACTGACCTATAACTCAAACCACTGAAATATGTAAAACAGAAAACATATCTAGTTTGAATTATTAAATACATTATTTGAACGGGAATTATAAAAAAATCAAATTATATTTCTCAGATGAGCTTCATATATGAAACTGTAATTTTCAAAATCTTTTGGTATGATAAATTTGGGCACACTTACAAAATTCTGACGTTACACCAATATTCTTTGTTATCAGGTTATATTTAGAGTAAAGTTTGCCTATTTTTAATTTCCTAAAAGTTTTGGCATGGCATTGATACGAGTTTCTGAAATCTATTTTTAGATTTCACGATTGTTTTACGGGAAATAAATGGTACATGCATAACTGGAGGTGTTTGACCTTCTATTCCTTTTAATCAGACGTAGTTGTACAGGGTTCACATAAAGTTTGCCAATGAAAATATGGAATGTCTGCCAGGATACCTTGGACTATGACTGCTGTTAGCTAATCGCCTAGCATTAGCATTCCTACAGTGAAAATTTGACAAAGACAATCTTGTCAACGCGTCCGCGTTGGATGAGCATAGACCCTTGACCACACATCTATCTCTTTTTGATACACTACCAGCAGCGGTGGCCGCAGTGGTAGACACTTCGGTCTCCTAATCAGTCGCTGTGCTCTGCGCGGGTGCGAATCCCGTCCCAAGAGAAATTGGATGTTGCGATTGTCTGTAGGTGGTAGACGGTCTCTGACTGTCGTACCCGGAGATACCACCCGGCGGATCTCGTAGGCGGGGCCAGAATGTGGGCATGCCGCATGCACTAGAGTCTCTGTGGCGTCCCCCCTTTTCACCTGTCTAGCCCCACGGTACCCCATGGCTGTTTAGGCCTTAGGCTTTCGTGGTAGCTGATATTCATTCGTGAATTGTGAGCTTTAAGGCGGCGGACATGATGTCGTATTTGTTATCCAAACGTCATGTCCTTAGCAACTACTTCACCGTCGTCAACATAGCACATTTATAGTGAAACCTCGGTAGCATAAGACTTTGGACGATGGCAGTTTTCTGTAACTTGTTTGCTGCGTTTAGTGTGTAGTTTGAAGAATGTTAGTTAGACATACTACTTTTGTTTCTGTAATCACTCTTGCAGGTAGTTTTGTGTAGATGGCTTTTCTTAAAATGTGAATGTTTCACAAAAAACTCTTAAACTGATAAATATCCTAACACATTTATAACTAAATGATAATATCTCAACCATTGTATTTACCATATGTTGTTATTTATAGGATCTGTACCAACATTCTTAACAGAGCAGACCTTGTACAATATAATAGATGAATGTGAAACTAATGATAGCTATTCGCCATTAATAAGGACATTAGGTGAAATTTTTAGTAGTATAGAAAACTTATCTAGGAGCTTTTTGGAAGAACCCACACCTACAGAGGATCCTGTTATGAATATTGAAAGCACAGGTATTGTACTTAAGAGAACATTTTTTTATAACTAACTTTATACATAATCTAGGCTAACAACTAAAAAAGAAAAATTGAGGAAATTTTTACTTTTCTTTGAATCTTAGTGCTTGTTTTCATAAACATATATTTCAAATTTCATAGGAAGTGACAGTGTTTGGAAAATGATATATTTCTATAGCACATAATAGTTAACAATTGAGTTGCTTTCATGTCTAATAAATTATTTTGTACCTATCGATGTATATCTTTTATTTATGTTGGATGTGCCTTTTCAGGAGATGATTGTAAACCACTAAAGAAGGAAGAATTGCGCTGGGCTCATGGTTTTGACCCGGACAAAGATGAAGACACATATGCACATAGACCTAGTGAAGATGGAGGTGGTGGTACATATTCACGCCTTCCACCAGTTGATGTTCCAGCTGTGAGGTAAGCAAAGTATCCTATTAAGAACCATAGTTAGCTAAACCGGACTTGATTCCTGCCGTTGTTTTGAAGAGGAGCTTGCTCCAGTTATTTCGCATCTCTTCCAGATATCTTACGAATCCGGCACCTTCCTAGAAAACTGGAAATTTGTCCAAGCCATCCCAAAACAAGGATTTAATACCGACCCTTACAACTACAGGCCTATAGCTCTGCTTTTTGCTATAAGTGAGGTGATACAGAAGTGCATAAATCAGGAGTTTCTGGATAGCCAGTATGGTTTCTGGCACCAGCGATAGACATGGAACCTCTTCTTCTCTCTGACTGCAAGATATAATAATAATAATAATAAAACATCTTTATTGGGCGAAGCTTAGCATAACCTATTCTACCACATAACCTGTCATAATTGACGGGTTCTCCTCTTCATCCCACAACGTCAACGCGGGTGTTCATCAGGGATCGGTCTTGGTTCCGACACTTCCTCTTACATATCAACGACGTCCTTTCCTGTATTATCAATCTAATCCACAGCTTTGCTGATGACAGCAGAAATTCAGAGCGACAAGCCAAACATAGCCGATGACCTGGAGAAAAGAAGACTAGTGGCGACTTCCTCTCTATCGCGAGATCTGGAGGTTATCATAGCAGTATTTTTGGATTTGAAGAGGGCATTTGAAACAATTGATAGAGATATTTTTTTATTTAAATTGAAGGCATATGGTGTATCAGGAAGTGTCTTAGACTGGTTTAAAAATTATTTGACTAAAAGGATGCAAGTTACAAATTTAATAACACTATTTCAACAAAAATTGAAGATACGTTAGGTGTTCCAGAGAGCAATACCCTAGGACCATTCCTTTTTATTTTAGACATAAAAGAGATTTACGTGCCATAGTCATAAAATGCAAAATTCGAATTTTCGCCGATGACACTTTGATTTATATAAGTACTCAAAATAATCCGAGTGGTAACATAAATGAAGACTTGAAACAAATGACAACTTAATATCGATGGTGAAGATTTTGAATTCATAGAAAATTATCAATACCTTGGGGGTTTTTGTTGACTTAATCAATGTTTGATATTCATAGGAAAAAATTATAAACAAGATTAGTAGTAAAGTGGGATATTTATCAAGAGTTTCTGGAGGTCTGAGTTCATATATCAGAAAAATTATTTATAATGCTATCATTCTTCAAAATTTCTTATACTGTCCGACTATTCTATATTTAGCTAATAATTCCATTTTTGAAAGACTGCAAATTTTATGAAACAAGTGCATGAGAATGATACTGAATGAAGATAAATATACTCCAATTAGACAAATTCTTAGCAAATTTTAATGACTTAATGTGAAAATTTTCATCAAATATATTGTAATGATATTCATTTATAAAGTAAAAAATAATATATTTCCACCATGTCTAACTAATTTAACACTATCAAATGCCAAGCATCATTTACATAATACCATAAATAAAGATAACTTCCCTTTGATGACCAAAAAGTATAACATATGCTACAAATCTGTATTCCGTCAAGGGTTATAAATTATATTATACTGAGATAAAAGACCAGAGTAGAGAACATTCTAAGTAAAATTCAGGAATCACTTGTTAAATCTACAATTATAGCTTTCCGAGCATTTACATCAAATTGACTTGAATTTACTAATTCTAAGTTGTTTATAATTATTCTTTTCATGTAGCCAAACGTGCTAAATAAATCTTTCTACTACTACCCTGCGATCTAGCTCGCTTCTACCGCTACGCCAATGGGCTTTGCTCCTCAGAGCTCTCTTCCATGATGCCTCCGCGCAATATGCCTGTCAGACAGACCCGCCTGACTTCGGCCTCCTGTCTTAACCGTGATGAACTTTGTATATCCAGAACTGGCCGATACGACCGCTCCTTTGTCCCTAGGGAATCGAGATTGTGGAACAGTACATGAGGAGGCTTTTTCCAGTTCTAGTAACCTCAGGCAGTTCAAAAGACGGATTAACAAAGTTTCTTCAAGCTCCACATAGCAGCCGAGGTGCTCTGGCATTTGGGCTTCTGCCTGCGCGGCTGTTGCTGAATAAAATAAAACTTAACTGGAATGCAATGTTCCACATTCCACATGTAGGCACGTTCCATAAGTATTTTATATTCTGACTGTCTCTTTTTATATATTCATGCATCCATCTGATCATGATTCATATATTTTTTAATAATGATAATTCTGTTCTTTGCTTCCAGGAGAGCTTTTCGCGGACTTTTTAACCTGAATGCTGCAATATTCGAAAATGCATTAGTTAATGCCTTGGTTACTTTGGCAGGCAATCTACAAATGGAGTTGCCCACAAGGAAAGAAGGGGATGGATACGACGATATAGTCAATGCCTTGATCATTGTGTTCGAGATACCAGCATTAGGTATGTGAATAATTTTGTTGGTTTGAATAAAAAAAACTGTAACAGACTAGATGCTAAAAGTTGCGACTACAGAGGCCTGGCACAATTGGCTGAGATACTTGTGAGAGTTTAAATCCTACACCTGATATTTTCGTTTTTCCAGGCTGCAAATGCCTTTTGGGAAATATATTTGATAAAACTATTGCCACTTCTTTACTGTAGTTTTCATTTTGATTGTCTGGTCGAATCAAACAATTGTTTTATTTTTTGTTTATTGTACGATATTTCAGCTCCCAGAGCACATTGTACAAAAAGGTCACCATGGTAGCCAATAAACAAAAACTAAAATATATACATGGTGTTACTCAATGACAGGCTGTAATTGCAAGGACACATTTCTGAACCAAATTTAAGTGGAAAAGTCCATATAACTGTGTGTCCTAAAAAGTCTGAAAAACATTTTTTTTTTATTAGCATCTCAAAGATCCTTATGTCCCTTTTTTGAATTGTGGCAGTGATGCTATTTGCAATAAGACCAAGTTATCCCAATCTTGAAGATAACTATGAATCAGGCTGGCGTCTCGGGGAAGCACTTTCACGAATAATATTGCCAAAAAATGTACGCCACTACTTTTTAAAAGAAATATGTTTTTTTCGTATTGAGCAGCTAATGATATAACTTTTTTGTATCTTGCTATCGCTTCGTACCTTGCTTCGTTTTGAGGAAAAAGATAAAAACAACTACATTGGATGTTAAAAGTTCGAAAGCAGAAGCCTGCATAGAATCGGTAGGTGGTAATTTCCAACATTTTTTTGTAAATACCTTTTGTCAAACTATTGTTTCTTAAAATTTTAAAAACGACTTACAAATATTGCAAGTCGAACAAATTAGATTAATGTTACTTTAACAATTTTTTGACATGTAATGAAGTTGTTTTTATTTATTTCCACGAAAATGATACGAAGATATACCAAGAAATAAAAAAAAGTTGTTTTTTATCTGCTTGATTCCAAAAAGTATCATTTTAATTAAAAAGGTCATTGCCCTACATTGTTTTGCCATTACTATTCCTGAGACTGTTCCTCACGACGCCACTGGAATGCATAATTATCTTCTACTCAGTACCTTTTATTACAATGAATAATACTTCCAAAATTCAACAATGTCGGCACAAGCATCTTTGAGATATGATTAAAAAACATTTTTTATTTTGAAACTGTGACACCCCTTTTAGATTGGACTTTTGACGACACATGCTTATATGAACTTTTTCACTACTTTCGGTTCAGAAATGCGCTCTTGTAATTCTGGGCTATCATTAAGTAACACCATGTATCTGGTTTTGCTGCTTTTTCAGGTACTGGTGATTTCTTGGAGACTGCCCTTCCAGCAATATGTAGGGCAATACAATGGCTGCCTGTAGACGTCCAAGCGAGGCTAGCCAGGAGGTGGGCCTCCACACCTAGCTGTTCAAGTATTCGTAGTATTTTGGAAAATTTGCAGCAATTGGTTACATTAAGGGTGATTGAAACACATCTTCAAAGGGACTTTTTTGCCCAAGACGAGAATGTCATCACTTCAGCTACAAAGTTGATGAAGGTGAGAACTAGGATATTGGTGATCTTCAACAGTGTTCTATTGGGAATCGATTAAGCATAATTAGATTAAAAAGTCAACAACTTTTCACCACAGGTATTTTCTTTGTATTGCAATGTAGGTTGGGTAGATATTTGAAACTTTTAACAACAATCTTGGCTCAATTTAGGGTTGTTACCAGTCCAGCTTTTGGCGAGGTTTCCTGGTTTTTGATACCACTATTCCTGTCGGCGGGACGTGGGTTGTTTCTCTTACTTTCAGCTTTTTGTATTGTATCGGTAGTGGGAACGTTTTAATAATTTCAGGGTATAAAGAAAGTCGTGTTATGTGTAGGGTGTCCAGTGGAAAAGTTCACTTTTTGATTTAAGGAAAAAATACAAAACTTAATGAAAAGAAAATATTTATTACTATCAACATATTCGTAAATTCGGCGGGTTTTATTTCTTAAATATCATTCCGTCCAAATGTTTTCCATCCCTTCGGACACACCCTTCTAATCGCTCGCGCAAATTCTGAAACACTCTTGCAGAGTTACGGAGTGTTGAATTATTGCAATACTCTTCTGACTTTAGATAAGCCCACAAAAAAATATCGCATGGCGTGAGGTCGGGTGACCTAGGAGGCCAGTGAATGTCTTCTAACTTCGATACAACTTTTTGAGGAAAAAGTGCTTTCACTGTGTCCATCGATTCTCTAGAAGTATGGGCAGTGGCCTGATCCTGTTGAAACTATGTGTTTAGACATACTGTTCTTATAATAGGAACAAAAAAAAGAGTCGATCATGTCCTTGTTTCGCTCGGAATTGACTGTCAACACATGACCGTTTTCATCTTTAAAGAAATACGTCCCAATTAATACCGCTAGAGGATATGGCGCACCAAATAGTCACCTTTGGACTATGTAGCTGTTGTTCATGTTTCTCTTTTAGGTTCGTTGGTGCCCAATATTTGCAATTTTGCTTGTTAACATAACCGTCTAAGTGAAAATGGGCGTATGAATCTCCACTCCTAAAGTAAGCCTCGGTAGCAAAAACACGTTGCCCTTCGGTCCAACGTTCCATTGTGACTATTTAACCCGCACGGCGAACGCGTCGATCAAGACCTCTCCCACTTCCTCCCGTATGCGGTTGCCGGGTAATTGAGATTTGAAATGTGAACTTTCCCACTGGACCCTGTATTACTACTGAATTCTAAAAACCATCATTTTGATAACAAATAAAAAATTGATCATATCTTTAAGGCTTAACTTTCTTATGCTGTTTGTGCAATATAAATATAACGCGTTGAGGTATGAGGTAAAAACTGCTGTTTGAGACACTTTTCGAATAGATCTGCTATCGTATCTTTATCATAGTCTGATAGTGAGAACGCGTCTGATGCTCGACCTTGCCAGGTATGTTGTTGGACCACACAAATGTACTATTTGATTTTAATGCTCTTTATCCGCAATATTGATAAATGTTTTGTTGGTTAGGGTTTTTATATAGGAAGCATTTGGTAGAATATGAACAAAATTTAAGCGTATTAATTTTTGAAGGCGTGTATAACCAATGCTTCTGGTGCAATTGCTTAAATAAAAAGTGATTTAATTCAGAATAGATGAAACGTACTCTGAATGCCAATATGTATTGACACTGTTTTTATCTTTTTAGATATTGTACTATTCCAACATATTAGCAGGAGTGTTGGAATCTCCAGAGCTTCGTGCGCATGACCTCACCGACTCAAGTGATAACCCTCTAAAGAAAAATATTATTCCGGCGGATCCTCTCGCGGATGAATTAGGGATACACCTGTTAGATTGTAGGAAACCATTTTTACCCTTCACAGAATTCTATAATGAATTACTTAGTGACACAGTTGAGATGGACAGAGATTTTGCTAATTATAAGAGTGAATCAGGTAAGTCCAAAAAGATGATAAGTGATGCACTGAGGTACTTTTTTTTATTAACGCATATATTTATCTAAACTACTCCCGATTGTAAAGGCTTTGTTCGGGTTCTACAAATGATTATGCCAGGACTGTTTTGTTTCTAACAAGTTGTGATATTGCATGCTATGAATCTTGCAAGTTTTCTGACCATTAAATGAAACCAACCTTGACTTTTTACTAACGTTTCGGTCTCTTTCAAAGTACATATCAAAAATGACATTTTAACAACCAGAAGATGGGATTTATCAGCACGAAAACCATAGGAGAAGCTTCAGATGATGTTGCTTTAGCAAAGCTATAGTTTCTCCTGCGTGAATAATACCATAATATTTTCATCCTTGCAGGCAAGTTCAGTTTTATGCACTACCCTTTCATTCTAACTCCTGCCACCAAGACCATGGGACTATACTTTGATAATAGAATCAGAATGTATTCAGAAAGGAGGATAAGTTTCCTTCAGGCAGTTACAGGGCTGCCATCTCAGCCATACCTTAGGTTAAAGGTTAGGAGGGACCATATTATTGACGACGCGTTAGTTGAGGTAAGCAACTTCTATTTTCTACGATTTAGTAAAATACTGTAGCTTTCGAATAATGGAACTTAATGAGCAATGTTTCGAGTAGTATTTTTTGCTGGGAAAAAATTGATAGATAGTGACCAGCACTTGGGAAATTAAGTGCATTTTCAAACAGAAGATGTCTGAATATTGTACATTTGTGTTCTATACTTTTTAGCTGGAAATGATATCAATGGACAACCCGAACGACCTCAAAAAGCAACTTGTGGTCGAGTTCGAGGGTGAGCAAGGTATAGATGAAGGCGGAGTTTCCAAAGAGTTTTTCCAGTTGGTCATAGAAGAAATATTTAATCCTGATTATGCAATGTTTGCTGTGCAACCTGAAAGTCAAACAGTCTGGTTCAATCCGACGAGTTTTGAAAGTGATGCACAATTCACGTTAATCGGGATAGTCTTAGGATTAGCGATATATAATAATGTCATACTGTCTGTTAACTTTCCGATGGTTTTGTACAGGAAGTTAATGGGAAGGAAAGGGTCTTTCGAAGATTTAGCGGACTGGAATCCAGTAAGTAAATTCTACATGCACTTGGATTAGGAGCAACATAGGGGTTTTCGGATTTGAAAATGACTGATCTTTTTAGTTGGTCCGTTATATCTTTGCATTTCAATTTTTCGAAAATATGTATTTTAAAATTAATTATTCTTCTTTCCAAGCTCAAGCTTCACAAATTTAGCATTTTTTGCAGGATTTATCGATTTTGAAATATTCAACTTACTATTTTTGTATGAGCACATGGCCATTACACGTCCTACTTTAAATTTCCGATAAAGCACATGATACACATTTTTGTATATCTTTTGTGTGAATTTTGGACAAATATGCCAAACTTGGGCTCTCAAAGAACAATCAAGCATCAAAATGGAAAGAAAAATTTCATTTTGATGCTTTTTATTGCTTTATAGTTACAGATGCATACATACTGTTGACTTATGTTAACAATAAAAAAAAAAACTTTAAAAGTGTATATTTGATACGCATTTTTAAGTTTTCTTGAAACTCCGTGCATTTCAGACGTGTTTAAACTGGTTTTAAAGTATTTCCACAGCAGTTTTAAAGATAGTGGCTCAAGTTTTATGGACGATTTGTTTTTTGGTTTTATTGACCGGTTTTAGTGTGTTGTGCTGAAGGCGCTTGTTACAACCTTAAGGTTTATTTTAAAACGAATTGGTTTTAATTGTACTCGACAGTTTTAAAGCATCCTTGAAATACTTAATAAACCCATTTGGTGCTGCCTAGCTATGTATTGAACTGATCTGTTCTATCATAAATCTAATTTTCCCGACCTTGCATCATACACAGTGCTTCAAATGTTTAGCCATTTTTTTTTAAATATCTATATCGGAATTATAAAAAAGATATTTTCAGAATTCATTGAGCTGAACGAAAGTATGGATTTTTACTACTATTCCTCTTTTTATTTATAGGTGCTGTATAATAGCTTAAAACAGATGTTAGATCACTCTGAGCCCGACTTGGAAGACACTTTTATGCAGACTTTTAGGATAAGTTACCAAGATGTGTTCGGTTCGACGATAGACTATGATTTGAAGGAAAAAGGCGACGAAATTAGTGTGACACAAGAAAACAAATATGTAAGTTGGTCTGTCATTTGGAAAATGTAATAGTTTCGTTCGCGGTTCGCCAAAGGAAACAGTTCTGAACTGAAATTGAAATAATTGGAATTGCATGAATGAATGGTTATAGTACGAGATACAGCCTCTTGAATATGCAGGTATCTGTTTTTTTTAAACTTAATTTTTATGGATGGTAAATAAAAGAATAGATTACAGCAGGGTTGCCTTTGCCAAACAACCCTGCAGATTCAAGCGGCCGGATCTTAGACTGTTAGGAAAGTGCTCATATAGCGAATATGTCAAAGCACAGATGGCAGATGGGGGGTCAGAATTATTTTTCCAAAAACATTCCTCAAATCACTGTTAATTAATGATAGGGATAGGTTTGGTTCAAAGATCGGTAGGAATATTTTCTATCCGTGAAACGTGTGATATTCCACATATATGCCCAAGAATTTTCCCAGGTAAAATCCTTCAAATTTCTGCGAAAATCCACCAAGATGGCAACCCTGTCAAAGCACCACTGGTACGCCAGGCGTCAAGTTTCGGGGTCGTAGTTACAGCACGAATAACATTGCCGTAGTTTCTTCTGGTATACAGAGAAATCAAAATATCACTGACGAGGTAATGTGTACGAGAGAGAAGTGGCGAGAATCAATACGTATGTTAGAAAGAGTGTACCGATGACAACGCAAGCCACCACGTCACTTGGGTTGCTAGGAAACGTGGTGCTTCTATCTATTTCTTACATACGTATTGCACGCTTTTCACTCGTACACATTAGGCGTCAGTGATATTTATGGATATTATTTTTTGAATGGGTCAAGTTAGCTAGACCTCAGGGTGTGGCTCTTTGTACCTTGATTTTTGGATGCAAGGCGGTTGCGCAAGTTTCAAAAGCTAGGAAATGAAATAACAATGGAGCTAAGGAGAAACATAAGGCACACAGACATTTATTGAACAAGAAAATAAAAAAAACTATACCCAAAAATTTCAAACTAAAATTTAAAAAAACCTTGGCTATCCCCGAACGGCAACCGGGGAAGTCCCAGATGTTACTCTAAAATCGGAGGGTAGAAGCCAAAGGTAGAACCGGATGGTAAAAACCTCTAACAATGAAGGTTCTCCAAAAATGGGGGAACTGCTCCTCCCAGGCGTGAGTTCCACTCAAACTTGCCTTGGACTAACCCTGCAGGCGTTCCCCCTCAGCTCGATGGTTGAGTGTAGTAATCTGCACGGTTAAATCCCCAAGGGGATTTCTAATAAAAACCAACCCTACCACCCTATAAACCGCAACTCAGCGTGTGAACTATATCGCAGAATCGGGCAGTAGGCCGCAGAAAATTCCTACACCACTGGAAATAGCACCAAGTTACCTCCAGATCTCGTAGTTACGGTAAGCAGAAATTATAAAAAATGATTCCCAACGAGATGGAGAGTAGAGTACGATTTTCTACCACAAAATTATTATATTGAGAAGTGGTTTGTTATAAAAATGAAACCGATGTTTTTAAGAACGGCTACAAAATTATTATCCTCAATAAGAAACGTTGTAATAATTTACTTTATCAATATGTTAATTTTTAGTCTACCATATAAAGAAACTGTAACACCACCCCCCTTCCCGAAGGGAACATTCCCGAATTTTTCTAAAATACAAGTAAGGGAATTTGAAGAAGGTGCTTATAGGGCCAGAAAAAATGCAGTAGTTGACATTAAAAAGGTACCACTCGATTCGTCAAAACCAACAATCCAACAACTTAAACAAGGAGACGATGAAATAACTTAAAAATTAAAAAATCTCGGCCATCCCGCCACCAAAAGCCAGAAGACATTCCTATGCTCATTCAACATAGCAATAACAACAAAAAACGTATACCAAACCAGTGTTTAGCCAGGTTGCGCTTGCAGCATGTGAAGCCTCGTTCATTGGCCTTTTGCATGATGAACCCTCGTTCATTGGTATTTTGCATGATGAACCCAAAGAGGACCCGAAAGCTCCTAACGGCAATAAGGACGAGAGGCTGTGATGAAAATAATTGGGGTGGTCAATTGATTTATTTTTTTTTAAATTTCTATTTCAGTTATTTTGTTTTAGGAGTTCGTTGATCTGTATGCCAATTTTTTACTAAACAAATCTGTGGAGAAGCAGTTCCACGCATTTTACAAGGGATTTCAAATGGTAGTTGATGAATCACCATTAGAACTTCTCTTCCGTCCAGAAGAGATCGAATTACTGATATGTGGTAGCAAAGTATGTATTCTTTAAAACAATAGTGATATGATAACAATTTTATGTCTCCAACGTGTTGAATAGTTCACATTAGTTATATTTTTTTTTGTCAGAATTTCGACTTTGACGAATTGGAGCACAGTACAGAGTATGACGGTGGCTACACAAAACAGAGCCAGATCATTAAGGATTTTTGGTCGATAGTACATGCGTTGCCTATCGAAGATAAAAGGAAATTGCTTCAATTTACGACAGGTAGTGATAGAGTACCCGTTGGAGGATTAAGTCGACTAAAGTAAGTTTGATAAGCTTGAATGAACAAAATTCTGTGAATGTTTTCATATTGCAATACATTTTGGCGATGTTTAAAACTGTCCTTTTTTACTTCCCGTTGGCGAGAAATTACTGAAATCGCGAGCCATTCTAAAATTGAGACGTGTTTCTTGTATGTTATATGTTTATCGCAAAAAATCTTGTAACTCGGTTGCATCAGTATGTCTGTCGATTTTTCAGTTCCTGCGAGCTACGTGCAAAAACCAGAAACATCAGAACATTCACAAACTGTTTTGTTAGTTTATGGTAATTTTTGGGCGTCGTCATGAAAATTTTCATGGAGAGGCGAGGTTTTCTAAAAAATCCTGCATTTACTCTTCCGACAATGTTTGTTTTTTATGAGTTAAGGGCGTAGCCAAAAAATTATTAGTCGTTAAAAAATTGTCACAATTCATTTCAATTGAATAAGTTTCTATTGAAGCATACAATCTATGAAATTTACCTTAATTTTTACAAGCCTTTTTTTAACTTGACATGTTTGTTGCCAAGTAAATGTGTATGGGACAAATTTTGGAACTGAATTTGGACCTGTTAACCTTAATTAACCGAGCTGAAATATTGTACGCACGTTTGGTTCGCCTGACAATACAAAATTAATTAATCGCCGCGATTTTGAATCCAATATGGCAGATGCTACAAAATGGCGATACATCATTTCTCTATACTATGAGTATCAAATGAAAGGGCTGGATGCGGGAAACATAATAAACAAAGTGACATTCTAAATCCAATATGGTGGCCGCCGCTAAATGGACATTTATGGGTCCAATGGTCACCGCTATGATATGGGTATCAAATTGAAAGGACTTAATGAGAGAAACACAATAAGCAAATAACGTCATTCTAAATCCCATATAGTGATCGCCGCAAAATATCGATTTATCGTTATATCATTTAAATCTATCGAAATTCTATTATACAAATAAAGCAAGAAGTTTTATGGAGTCCTATTAGAAATTACCAAATTAGTTATTTGACATCATGAATTCTAAAAAGTAAAAATAAATAAAAAAATACATTGCTAAAAACAAGTTTAGCTGTTAACAAAGTGAACTAAAAATTTCAAATTTTTGGATTAGAACAATAACGAAGCTTTTGACAGCAGAATGGAAAATGGGTGTAACTCGCTTTTATCTGAAAACTGCAGAGGAAGCTTCGTTATCGTTTAAACATTTCCAATCGGATTTTTTTTAAATAGCTAAATAAAAATTTGTTTTTAAAAATGTGTTTTTTATTCTATTTTATTATTCTTAAAAAGATTTTTACGGAAAATTCAGCATGGACTCCTCAGCTATCATTCGGCGCGTTTATAGTTCGAATAATTGGATAACTGAACTGTGAACTATCTTTTGCAGACTAGTGATAGCAAAGAACGGTCCCGATTCGGACCGTCTGCCCACAGCCCACACTTGCTTCAACGTCCTCCTTTTGCCAGAGTATTCAGACAAAGAGAAACTCACCGACCGACTGCTCAAAGCCATCAAATACTCCAAAGGGTTTGGGATGCTGTAAGAACATCGCAAACAAAGGCAGTGCTTCACTTGTCGTGTTGTAGGCGTTCCCTTACTAACATTTCAACTACAAAACTAATCACACAGTTCCCCATCTGCTCCTACAATTCTTGTTCGTTGGGCTACAGTGCTGTTATAGTGAGACGTATATGTATAGGGTTTAAAAGGAGACTGATTACAGACACACACATACAGTTAGCATGGAGTGCTCACAACATTATTGTAAATATTAAATAGATTGGTAATTGGAGTGTCGCTGCAAAACACAGCCAAAACATTTTTAGCGAAATTGCAATGTTGCCACTTAATGTAGAGGTAGCTGATCGCGTTAGAGTATCATTTGGATTAAGTGAAATTTGGTATTTTCCACTATTATAAAATTGCATTTCTGATCGCCGATATACATCTCGTCAATAGCGGCAGCTGCTGGGAAAAAGATAGGCTTTTGTTTAGGGCTAAGAAGTACTTTTCTCCGCATGACCTTCTTGCTCTGTACAAGGCCCATATAAGGCATAGCTTCCAGTATTGCTCACACGTTTGGGATGCTGCCGCCTCGACTACATTATTTGTGCTCGATGCTATCCAGAGGTCTTTACTTAAAAATAACATGCACCAGTGGCGGAGATACCGGGGATTAGTAGCACTATTTTTCCAAATAAAAATTCTACGCCACTGTTTTTTTCGAATTTTACCTTCAATTTGCTACAAATAATTTCTCTTGTGTTTTTTTGGTAGAGTGTATAGTATTCGTAAAAATAAAAAAAACAAATTAGATAATCAAAACTTTACTTCAATAAATGTTCAAAAAGACCACCATTCTGACGGATCCAAGTGCGGCATCTTTTTCGTAAAGAAAAACGTATTTCATTTATTTTGAAGATATTGAAAAAATGTTTTTTCGAGGAAAAAATGTTACATAGAAGACCCCCCTTAAAATGCGGTCGTGTGTATGATGTTTTATTTTTGGTTACGACTTTTGAATCACCCTGTATACATTATATACACTCACACAGAAGTATATAATAATCTTTACATACAAATAAAAAAAACTAACTCTCAACAACAGTAATAAACAACATTCAGGATAAATACTGATAAAATCGGCCATAGAATAAACACACTTTTCAATGAGATAAGTTTGACCTACTTTTCAAAATGCTCAATGCTTCTGCTTTTTTATTTATTACAGAAGCTTGTTTATTATTTTTCGACTCAAGATGTGGGCAGCCCGGTTGCGAATTTTTAATTTAGGACGTCAATATCTAGTTGCTGGCGTGTTTCGATATCATGTACGTCCATATTCAAATTATAATTTGTTTTACTGACATATATGCGGAGATAGCCATTTCATTAATAAGGCCAGGCAATGTCAAGATCTTCAGTTTCTTGAACAGCTCCCTACAGCTGTGAGTGCTGTTTACACCAACTATACAACGAACAACTCTTTTTTGGTTCAAAAAGGCTTTTTGAGCATTTACAGATAAGCCTCAGAAACATAACATGTAACGCAGACGAGCCTCAATTTGGGAGTGGTACATCAATAACTGGCTTTCGGTAAATACCGATTTCATATTTTAATCATATATGATTGTGAATTTATCTTGTTGGATATTATAATCACAATGCTCTTTGAAACTAACACATTCTTCTAGATACGACCCTAAGGCCCGTATCGTCAGTCGTCCCTACAATTGTAGGGCGCGTTTATGGCCTCCTTGATTGTCATACTCCTTTCTCTCCTTCAAAAATTTCTAGAATACACTTGTCCCGTGTCAGCTTCAGCGCTCTCCTATTGTGAAGATATGTTTTCTTTTTAAATTGTAGGAAATTTCAGGCTGATAAAACATGATATAACTCAAAAGCAAGCTTAATTTGATGCAAATAGATGTTTGTGACATAACCTCAAAATAGAGCGCTGACACGGAGAAGTAGAAAACTATGACAATCAAGGAGGCCATAAGGGCGCCCTACAATTGTAGGGACGACTGACGATACGGGCCTAAGTATCCAGATCAAATTGTAACGTTATTTAGTGGCGCAATTATTGATCTTTGCTGTTTAGTAGGCGGTTGCCGGTGTCCTGTAAGTGTCTATCATTTTTGTCTGATACAATGATTGAAGCATCGTTTGAGTAAAACCTAAAATGGCCTGCAGGAAAAAGGGCTCAAGATTGTTGTTGATTGTATAGTGAGAACAGCACTGGTCCAAGTACAGAATCTTGTGGTACACCTTCATCAATATTAGTATTGCGATCTATTTTGCAAGTACGAGTTTATCCAAAGGTACGCCGTTCCACCAATTCCACAATTAGCTAATTTCATCAACAATAGATCATGATTGACACAGTCGAAGGCCTTACTAAGATCGCAGAAGATCCCAACAGGGCCCTCGCCCTGTGCTTGACCATTGTATCAAAAAAGAATGTAATGCTGTAGACGTTGATTTTCCGCTACGAAAACCATGTTGATTTTGCGATAATGTTGTCATTCAAAAACATCAGCCTATCCAAGTAACAATCTTCAAATATTTTTGAAAAACAATGTGGAACAGTCACTGGTCTATAATGTCTAAATGCAGGGTCACATTTTAAGGACAAAGCATGGAACAACTTATGACGTCATGCCATAACTTTAGCAGGCAATTTTGATCTACATTTAGAGAGCTAATTCAATATCACCCACTTTTATCCAAATGAAGCTACAACATCATGAACACTTGTTACAGTTACCCTACAATGTCTAGCTGTTTCTTATCTTTAGAAATGTTTTGAGCATCCTGTTTACCTACAACCTGTAACTTTACACCCACATACATGTTAAGGCTGAGTCTTGCAAATTATTTTGCCAAGTTGTTTTCGTTGTGTAAATCAATTTAATTCTCAGCGCTGTACTTTTTTGTATATTGTGATATGATCAATAAACGTGAAAAAAACTGATTGCTGTTTTATCTTTGGGGTGCCTTATGAGCTTGCATGTGCAATTTTATTACCGGGATAGTGGGATGCAAGTTATAACCTCGGAAACTTAGGAAGTGACGTAATATTTCGGAAGTACACGTTCAGATTATTGATTGTTGATCTTGACTAAAAATATTGTGGTGCTTTGAGCCATTATTGCTTATCGTTGTAATATCAGATAATTCCAAGGAACGTTATTGTCCGGGAAATATAAAAAACAGCAGCTCATTGAATCCACTTCCAACTTCATGTAGACCGATGACATCGACTATTCCCGAAACGCTCACCTAATAAATTTGAGCACGTGGATTCACCAAACTATCCATGACTCCGCCCCCTATTCAAGACGTTTGTCGGGTAAACGTAAAGTTAATTCTACCAAACTCTCATAGTTTATTTTTTATTGTTTAGTTGATTTGTTGTTGTTGATATAGAATAAGAACATCCCAGAAGTCGATGTCAAGCCGGAAACGGGTGATAGGCCAAGTCATAATACTTATCAGAAAAATATAAAAATAAGGGCCGTATCGTCAGTCGTTCCTCCAATTGAAGACACGAGTGGACGAAAATGCCAAGTAACATTTTTCTGAAAACCGTTTTTTCTGTATGGATGAAGGTACTATGATGTACCTATTTTTCACATGGCTCCATTGGAATTCTAAAATCCATAACAGAAGTCTAGATTTTTTAATGGATGAAGTAGTTATGTTACAGTATTTTCCACTAAAGAGTAGAAGAAGGTGTTATAGGCATCCATCCACATTATATATGTAATATTTTGTATACCTTAGTCATATGAATGATGGTGTTATGCGACACACATAACCCCTTCATCCACTCACTGGCCATTTTGTTTTACTTCTTTAGTCAGTATTGTGCGGGCGTGTTCTGTGTTAGTATTTTACAGTAAAAGTGTAATATTAATGCAAGTTAAAAACAAAAATGGGCTCCAGGGGTAAACAAATGTAAAGAAAGCTAGTGCAGGAACAAAGAAAGTTGTGAAGAAATAATATGTCAGTTACCAATATTAAATAAGTTATTTCTGATCCTCCACACCTATCATGCTGCTAATAAAGAATGGCCCAGACAAAAGTTGCAGGATTAAATTTGTGTGATCCGTGATAACATTTTAGAAAGAAGCGCCATCTGTGGGATGGAAGCGCAACTGAACGATTTTTTTGTCTAGTTGAAAAGGCACAGAATCGCCTTAAAATCATTTAAAAGAGGCATACGGAAGAATATACTTTTTATTCAGCTACTGGGCGTTGCATATAGGTAGCCACCACGAAGTCCACCATTTTGAATGACTACCTTAGGCAGCTGAAATCTGTTCAGTAAGCCCCAATGCATGCAAGGAGGAGGACGCTTTGTTTTTCAACTAAAGCCAAATCAATGCGTAATATAATAAACTAATGCAACAAAATAATCAAAAAATGGGGGGATTTTTAACTCCCCCTACAGAAATTTAAGTTTCTTGATCTTTGAGGATGCGTTGCCACATATCCATCCCCAAACCCCGACCAACCAACCTTAAAGGATCTCTTTGACTAGTTAAATTTTATGTGATCTGTGATAACACTTTACAAAGAACCTCCCCAACTGAACGAATTGTTTTTTTTGTCCAGTTGAAAATGCCAGAATTAGCTTAAAATCATTTAAGAAAGGCATACAGATGAATATATTTGTTATTCGGCTACTCTAAAATAGATGGCGTTGCTTATCGGTAGCCTCCATAAATTCCACCATTTCGAATGACTACCTTGAGCTGCTGAAATCCGTTCAGGAAGACCCACTGAATGCAGTTAGGAGTATGCTTTGTTTTTTAACAAAACCAAATCAATACGTAATATTAGATATATCAAACTAGGGTCAAGTGGTGCAAAAACGAGACGTTTTATAAATCTTTTAATTTTTTGTCCACAAAAAAACGGACTTTAAGGCTTTGTTATATTGCCCTGTATATACAAAGCCATGTAGTATACCTCCTGTTAAAAAAAGTTTATAATATTCATAATGAAGGGCGTTTTTGTTAAAAAACCGTGTCTCGTTTTTAACCACTATTTAGGCTAAAAATGAGACAGTGAGAGGTTAAAAACAAGAACTGTATTTTCTGGCCTTTTAGTCATTTTACATCAGTGTGGCAAAATATGAGACCCTGGGGAATAAAAACGAGACACACTGCAAGGGTTTTAAAGCGTTTAGAAGTCAAATAACATAGTTGGGTTTTAAATTGTGACAAAGTTCTTAAAGAAAACTCACATATTTAAATACAAAACTATATTAAACTAAAAAGAAAAGAAATCCAAAAACAAGTTAAATAAACGATACCTAATTCAAAAAATGGGTAAAACAAGATTTTCAGTAGTTTAAGAGCTAGAGAAGAAAACTTATTGTTCTATTTTGTACTACATATTATTGAACTACGTATTTTCCAAAGTCGATAGGAAACCAATATTGCTGAGAGATACGACAGGTCTCACTTTCTATTTCTGGCTGGGGAAGTTTCATTTCTATGTCACTTTTGTCGATGAAGTACTTTTCTTCAATGGCCGGAAAAATAAATTTACATCCTTTGCGCCTCAGATATTTTACTTCTACATCGCTCTCAAAAACTTTAAGGATTTGTGCCACGTAGTAAACTTGCGTCTTTTTAGTATTAAATTTAGTTAGGATAAAATCATTTTCCCTAAGTTCATATGCTTCCGTAATTTCATGGTTTGTTTTTCTATTTTCTGATTGGTTGTCATCACATTCATCTTCAATAATATACTAAGTGACATATAAATCCAAACACCCAGTTTAAATGGTTTTATTTTAATAAAATTTTGTATAAGTACTTAATGAAGCATAATAAGTAAATGATAAAAATTTCAAAATGATTGCACTGCTTTAAAGCCCTTTGACCTTTAATAATATGTGGATGCACCCTGATGTGCTACGCATTCTCCAACGCGCCTAGGCATGCTTCTGATCAGGTGGTCAATGGCCTCCTGTGGTATCTCATTCAAGGCAACCACCAACTCCTCTCGAAGTGCTTCTAGAGTCTGAGGAGGACGTTGCAAATTGAGCAATCTCCTACCCATCATATCCCACACGTGCTCAATTGGGGATAAGTCGGGAGATCTTGGTGGCCATGGTAACAATGTGACATCATTATGTTGAAAGAAGTCTATTGTGACTCTTGCAACATGTGGTCGGGCATTATCTTGTTGGAAAGTTGGATCTGCCAGGGTGTCAAGATAGGGTAAAAGATGGGGTTCTAGAAGTTCGTGGATATAACGCTGCGCGTTCATGTTACCTCTGATGAAGATTAAAGGTGACCTGGAACCATAAGCTATAGCACCCCAAACCATAACTCCAACAGTGTGATGAACATGTCTTTCAACAAAAAACTGTGGATTCCTCCTTTCACCACGTCGCCTTCTAACCCTGGCATGACCATCGTGCATACCTAAACAAAATCGAGACTCGTCACTAAAGACAATACTGTTCCATTCCTGATCCCAGAGTGACCGTTGTCTGCACCACTCAAGGCGATTACGTCGGTGTTCTCGAGTTAAAGGGAGGACCCAGTGTGGCCGGTATGAAAACAAGCCAAAACTTCTCATTCGTCGGTAAACACTTCGCATGCCAATAGGTCTTCCGTGTTCTGCAAACCATTCATTTGCAATGGACCTGGTAGTGGAGAAACGGTCCCTTAAGGCCAATAATCTTAGGCGGCGATCTTCACGGTCTGTTGTTCTACGGCGGCGTCCAGTGCCCCTCGCTCTTTGCGTACGGCCTTCTGGAAGCCATGCCTGACAACACCTAACCACTGTGTCTACACTTCTTTGCACTCTAACTGCAATTGCCCGAAAAGAAAGTCCAGCTTCTCGAAGTCCCACTATACGACCCTTATCAAACTCACTAAGTTGACGAAATCGTACAGGTCTCCGTACTCTAGGCATCGTAACCGATCGTAAAGGATGTCAAGAACCAAAATCCGCCAACGTTGATTCTTTACTGCGGCTGAAATATTCATTTTTAGAGCGTTAGTGAATTAAAAAAAAGCAGTATAAAAACCGGAATGTCCAACTGATAAGGCTGAAAATTTTTTCACTTGTTATTTACAGTAAGATAAATACATTCACCAACTTTTATTAAAATGAAACCATTTAAACTGGGTGTTCGGATTTATATGTCACTTAGTATATTTAGGCTCTAAATTTTAGTAAGCAGGTATTGTATGGAACCCATGTTACGGATGCTACGCGCATGACATTGAAAAAGTTCAAAGAAAGTTTTGAAAAACTAGCTGTTCGTTAATGCTGCTTTCACTGTCACTCTCAACTACTGTTTTACTCGCCTTTTGCTTCTTTTTTGATTTTGTAGATTTCACACCTTTATGACTTTTCTTATTTTGTTCTTTCTCCTGTATTTCCTTTTGTTGCTAGGACTTTTGCCATAGAGTCTATTTTTCTTCTTCTTGCTATTATGTTTGGGGTTCTTCGAATTTTCTCCAGAAGTAACGATTCAAAGGAGCTAGATGGCTTGGAAGAAGCACTGTTAGATTGATCTGGAACAGATTCAATAAACTGTTCGGTCTGCGGTAGTGGAGTTTCTTCATCGCAATCTTCGAAAATATCAAGCGGATTTTCAATCACCCCATGTGCTTTATATCTAAGTAGCTTTGCAGGATCTAAGCGATCTTCTGGATATCTATTCTTATCGCATGGAAATATCCCAACCTTTTCAAACGAAGATTTAATCATTTCTGCAGATAAACCCTCATTCCAAATGCTGCATATCAAATCACTAAATTCACTTCTAGAGGGTTTTCTCTGATTAAGTCTTTGCCAGTTAATCAAAGCTTCATTCCATTTAAATTTAAATGGACCAAAGCAACATCTGGCAAGCGGTTGCAGCAAGTCAGTTGTATGAGCGGGGAGTTTCAATAAAGTTATATTTTCTTGCACAGCCATTTCTATCGTCGATTTATCCAAATGGGTAACATGTCCATCCAGTATGACAAGAAGTGGGCGTTCACGAACCTGTGCACAAAACTTTTGGAACCACTCTTGAAAAATCTGACAAGTCATCCGTCCCTTATCTGAGGCTGCATAACATGTATTTGGTAAATCGGTCTTACCTAAAAAACATTTTTCATTAATTCTAACCATATTTTAAGTAACAAAAGGCTAACATCTTACCTTTCCAACTGCTCCATAAATTTTGCCCTTGGAAAATTATTAGAGGAGGTAACAAAGTACCACTTGCTGAAATGCAGGCTATTACGGTGGTATTTTCCTCTCCTGACAGCTCTATGTTCCGGTGAACTTTCTGACCAATACCAGCAACGCCTTTTATTCTGGCTGGGTCAGAAGAAAAACTGGTCTCGTCTAAATTCCAAATGTGTCTAGGCTTGTCTTGTAATTTCAAATCAGATATGCAAGTATTCAGGCGATCGTAAAAGCCGAAGATGATGAATGGATCATTTGTAGCTGTCCTTCTGCATCTTTCCAGTTGTTCAAGCTTTTTTTGACTTAGTCTATTGCGCTTACAAAAATGTTTAAACCAATCTTTTCCGGGCTTTCCTTCCTTAAACTGGGTAGTAAGGTGGTTTTCTTGTACATAGGTTTGAACTATTGCTTGTATCTCTGGTTTAGTGAGAGCAAAACCCCATTTTGCCATAATTTTGATCTTATCACTTAAGTCTACTTCCATTTCTTTGGTTAGAGAAGTTTTTCTTCCCTGTTTACCAAGTGAACGAGTACGTCTTCTCGAAAGAGCAGATTTGTCAATTTTAAAATGTTTAGCTGCATTTCTAAGAGATAAAGTGCCATTATCTATTAGTTTTAGAGCTGTTTCCATGTCTTTTTCGTCGTAGGGGCGCTTTTTGGGAACGTAAACCTTCGGCATTATTATCAAAGGTATAAAATCTGTCTTGTTTTTTACCTGGTTGGTGTCTTGTTTTTAAACTTTGTGGTGTCTCGTTTTTGCACCTGTTATTCACGACGTGCCTGCTTGCCAGCAAATAAAAATAGACTAAATTCGAAATGGAATATCATAGCCGCATCTGTTATTTTGAAAACGCGATACTCGCCGAGTTTCTACGATCACGTACAGCGACGCAACAGGAAAAGTTTGTAAATACTTAAATAATTTAAAAGATTTTTTAAGCAAAATGCACAGTCAGATGCGATAGTTTTTTCTCGATGTTTGTGTTTACGTTTATTTATTATTCATTACATATTTCAATGGTATATATGTGGAAGTAATTTGTAACGTATTTTTTACAATGTTATTGTTTTTTTGCATTGGGAAAAATTGAATGTCTTGTTTTTGACCGAAATTTCGGCTGTCTCATTTTTGCACTACTTGACCCTAATCCAAACAAAATATTTTCATCAAAAAATGGGGGGGATTTTTAACCCCCTCACGGAAATTTTAAGTTTCTTGATCTTTGAAGGTGCGTTGCCATAGAAGAGAAAAGAGCAAATTTCCAAGAACAGCTTAAGCATGTATGTGAAACCAGAATATCAATACTTCTATGAACCAATCTTAGAAACAAAATAATTTGTCATTAAACTGTTATTACCTTATATTAAGCAAAAATAATTTGTTGTTTCACGTTTTGTTGACAGGTTAGGTATGATTTTCTTTAATACAGCACTCTTCCATAAAAGCGTTGTTTCAATTTATATAAAATTTTGCAATGGATGAAGGTGTTATGTACTGTTTTTTTCAAATTTTGTAGACATAATATTTTTTTTGTTGATAATTTATTCTGTAAATAAAATATTACATATGTTAGTAACGCAAACGAGAAGTTTCTATCTAATAAAAGTTGATGTGAGAAAAGTTTACAATGAAAAACTTTACACCTAATTTTTGTAACACTGCACATTCATCCACTCGTGTCTTCAATTATTGTAGGACGCCTTTATACCTTCCTTGGTTTTTATAGTTTCCTACTGTTACGTGTCAGCGCTCTATTTTGAGGTTATGTCACAAATATCTATTTGCATGAAATTGTTCATGCTTTTGATTTATATCATCTATTTTATCAGCCTGAAATTGCCTACAATTCAAAAAGAAAAGATAACTTCACAATAGGAGAACGCAGAAATACCCCAGCCTGTCTGAAGGAGAGAAAATACTATGGCAATCAAGGAGGCCATAAAGCCGTCCTACAATTCTAGGAATGACTAACGATACGGCCATAAGTCGTGTACTTTTAAAATTACCCCATGAGCTGATGTTCTAGTTCCCATTACTACAAATTTCAATTTTTTCTTAGACGGAGTGTCGGACAGCGTCATTCTATGAAAATGCAGCGTTCGTTAGAGCAGAGGTACGCGATTAAATTCTGTGTGAAACTCGATAAATCTGCGACAGAGACGTTTAATATGATCAAGCAGGCTTACCCAGGGGTTGCTTTAGCAACAAGTGGTGTGTTTCGGTGGCACCAGGCCTTTTTGGAGGGCCGGGAAGAGGTCGCTGATGAAGACCCTGGAAGACCTTCGACTTCGACAAACACCGATAATGTGACTCGTGTGCGCAAAGTTTTGAACTCAGACCGTCGACTAAGTATTCGTTTAATTGCCCAGATGTTAAATTTACCAAAATCTGTGGTTCATGACATTGTGACACAGCATTTGAACATGCGCAAGGTGTGCGCGGAGATGGTCCCAAAAGTGCTCACTGACGACCAGAAGTTGCGGCGAGTGGAAGTGTGTCAAGAAAATTTGACCATGTGTGAAAGTGACCCCCAATTTTTGAATAATGTAATCACAGGTGACGAGTCGTGAATCTTTGAGTATGATCCCGAGACAAAGAGGCAATCTTCCGAGTGGCACACGACGGCGTCTCCTCGCCCAAAAAAGAGAAGAATTAGCAAATCCAAAGAGAAAACGATACTCATTGTCTTTTTTGACATCAAATACATCGTCCACCATGAATTTGTTCCTCCTGGTCAAACCGTCAACGCCAAGTTTTACGTGGAAGTGCTCAGGAGACTCGAACGAAGGGTCAGTCGGGTCCGACAAGACATCGCGGCCGACTGGAAGTTGCACCACGACAACGCCCCGGCTCACACCGCCTTTCTTGTGAACAGCTACCTGACCAACGCCGGCATCCCAACGCTTCCGCAGCCGCCCTACAGCCCAGATGTGCCCCCCCGGACTTTTTTTGTTTCCTCGCCTGAAAAGGCCGATGAAAGGCAAGCATTTTGAGACGACATAGGGGATCCAAGCAACATGCACCGCGGCTCTCAAGGCTATTCCGGAGAATGCCTTCCGTGACGAGTTCAATGCATGAAAATCGCGCTGGCAGCGCTGCATCGACTCAGAAGGAGCCTATTCTGAAAGTTTTTAAAGAATTGTAACGATTGGCTCAATAATTTTTTTTTAAATCGACTCAGTCCTATTACTTTCCGGACAAACCCTGTAGATGCAATGTTAGTGAGAGCTATCCAAATGCTGCTCGTCATCCCGATCACCCAATTTTTGTGAATATGCACTGTTTACTCTCAAAGGGACCATTCCCAAATCAAGCACATGGTGAAGGAAGAATTTCCTTTCCGTACGAGGACGTCGTACTACAAGCAGTCGAAGAAGACCCAAGTACTTCAGTACATCAAATAGAAGCAAGCACGGGAGTGCCCAAAAGTACAGAGCGTCGAATCTTGCGAAAGAACGAGCTTCACCCGTACCACGTACAGCGAGTACAATCTCTACAACCCCGCGATTATCTTCCAAGAGTTGAGTTCTGCCAAATAATGTTACAGAGACACCGGGAAGATCCGCGAATTTGAGATAAAATATTCGGCTGAAAGTAGCGGATGAATCATTGTCGTAGATTAAAAAGAGAATAGGCTCTGGTACGGATTTGATTGTCTGTCATCCAAATATGATTTGAATAATACCACAATACCTATTATTCCATAGTGCTCAAGATTTTCTATTATATAGTCGTTAAGCCGCCTGAAGACGACGAATGTTCCACTTAAAAGTGTTCCCCAATTAAATTTGCAAAGCTAATTTCACTGAAATATATCGGTTAATCTACCTAAAGACGATGACTGCTCTCTTCTGAGAATTTTCCAAATAATACTGCGGAGTTAATTTTACCGGATTATACAGGGTGGCCAAACACGTGACGTCATAAAAAAAAATTAGATTCCCCACATCGAGAGGAACCCAAATCACCCCCATATATATGGTCCGATTTTGTTTAGTTTAGGAGTTATGATTTTTTTTCGGATTTTTCGAGAATTTTTGAGTTCTGTGTTTATTTTTACCATAACTTCGTTAATAATTGTGATAAATGCCTGCTTTTTTCACGATTATGTAGCTAAGACCTAAGGTTTAACTACCATATAATCATTCAAGTCATGTAACTAATACTACTTTTTAATTTTTTTCAAAATCTTCGAACATAACAAAAAAGTAAAAAAGTGCAACAACTTTGAACGTTTATAAAAAATTGAAAAAACATGTTCTTACTATTCGTAAGTATCTTAAAAACTTCCTTACGGTATCAGCTATTTACCGTAAAAATTTCATCAACCTAGCTTTACTACATGCTACCGTAATTGTGGCTCAAATAGAACCGAACCCAAAATTGGATAACCCTCTGCTCAATAGAAATTGTTAGTTTCGGAAAAAAAATTTGCAAAAACCACAAAAACACGTTTGATTTTTACTGAACAGCAGATTATTATTCATTTATGTTATTTACAAGAGGTTTTCAAAATGTCTGCCTCTAACAGAAATGCACAGTGTACACCTACGTATGAAATTTTGTTTTAAATCTCTAAATGCTTGTGTGTTGTTTTTCAACACATGTGTCGCTTCTTGAATTTTGTTCCTCAATGAATTTTCATTTGCACATTCTTGGGCAAATGTTATGTCATTAAAATATCCCCAAACAAAAAAATCAATGGGGTTGAGGTCAGGGGAGCGTGGAGGCCATCGTATCGGTCCGTTTCGTCCGATCCATCTGTCTGGGAACCTTTCGTTTAAGTAGTTTCGCACGATCGTTGCGTTGTGGCATGGTGCACCATCATTCTGGAACACCATGTTCCGTCTGGCTTCCAGGCTTGAATCTTCCAGCAATAATGGTAGGCTATTTTCAAGGAAGCTTTTGTAGGCTACCGAATCCAACCTTGACGGCAGTTCAAATGGACCGATAAATTCCATATTGAATATTCCTGACCACATGTTCACACTAAAACGGTGTTGAAATGTCGACGGCCTTGACTGGTGGGGGTTTTCAACAGCCCAAGTATGTAAATTATGGATATTGAATATCCCTGTTCTTTCAAAACGTGACTCGTCAGTCCATAAAATTTTATCAAAAAAATCGGGATCCTCTCGTTGTCTTCGCAGCATTGTCTCGCAGAAATCCACTCTTAACTGGTAATCTGAAGGCATCAACGCTTGAACTCTTTGAACATGATAGGCATGATAACCTTCTTCATGAAGAATATTTTGTATCGATGTTTGTGGTATTCTAAGGTTTTGTGCCATAGATCTCGTACTCGTTGAGGGATTCCGGCTAATTTCTCTGCTTTGCATACTGATTTGGACTTTGTTTGCTAAGAAGTTTGTGATGCATTATACGTTGCGTGAATATGCAGAAATGCATTATTATTATGGCGTTGCTCAAGGCAACGGCGCTTTAGCAGCTCAGCTGTACCGGGAACAACTTATACGCCGAGGCGGACCACAACCTGAGCATTACCTAGACCACCGTGTTTTTATTAACACACATAACACTTTCATGGCAGGCCGCATTCCAGGACGAGGAAGCAATGAAGGATATCCTACAGCTGATCCGGATCGCAGAGAAGTAGTACTTGAAGAAATTAGCCGGAATCCCTCAACGAGTACGAGATCTATGGCACAAAACCTTAGAATACCACGAACATCGATACAAAATATTCTTCATGAAGAAGGTTATCATGCCTATCATGTTCAAAGAGTTCAAGCGTTGATGCCTTCAGATTACCAGTTAAGAGTGGATTTCTGCGAGACAATGCTGCGAAGACAACGAGAGGATCCCGATTTTTTTGATAAAATTTTATGGACTGACGAGTCACGTTTTGAAAGAACAGGGATATTCAATATCCATAATTTACATACTTGGGCTGTTGAAAACCCCCACCAGTCAAGGCCGTCGACATTTCAACACCGTTTTAGTGTGAACATGTGGTCAGGAATATACAATATGGAATTTATCGGTCCATTTGAACTGCCGTCAAGGTTGGATTCGGTAGCCTACAAAAGCTTCCTTGAAAATAGCCTACCATTATTGCTGGAAGATTCAAGCCTGGAAGCCAGACGGAACATGGTGTTCCAGAATGATGGTGCACCATGCCACAACGCAACGATCGTGCGAAACTACTTAAACGAAAGGTTCCCAGACAGATGGATCGGACGAAACGGACCGATACGATGGCCTCCACGCTCCCCTGACCTCAACCCCATTGATTTTTTTGTTTGGGGATATTTTAATGACATAACATTTGCCCAAGAATGTGCAAATGAAAATTCATTGAGGAACAAAATTCAAGAAGCGACACATGTGTTGAAAAACAACACACAAGCATTTAGAGATTTAAAACAAAATTTCATACGTAGGTGTACACTGTGCATTTCTGTTAGAGGCAGACATTTTGAAAACCTCTTGTAAATAACATAAATGAATAATAATCTGCTGTTCAGTAAAAATCAAACGTGTTTTTGTGGTTTTTGCAAATTTTTTTTCCGAAACTAACAATTTCTATTGAGCAGACGGTTATCCAATTTTGGGTTCGGTTCTATTTGAGCCACAATTACGGTAGCATGTAGTAAAGCTAGGTTGATGAAATTTTTACGGTAAATAGCTGATACCGTAAGGATGTTTTTAAGATACTTACGAATAGTAAGAACATGTTTTTTCAATTTTTTATAAACGTTCAAAGTTGTTGCACTTTTTTACTTTTTTGTTATGTTCGAAGATTTTGAAAAAAATTAAAAAGTAGTATTAGTTACATGACTTGAATGATTATATGGTAGTTAAACCTTAGGTCTTAGCTACATAATCGTGAAAAAAGCAGGCATTTATCACAATTATTAACGAAGTTATGGTAAAAATAAACACAGAACTCAAAAATTCTCGAAAAATCCGAAAAAAAATCATAACTCCTAAACTAAACAAAATCGGACCATATATATGGGGGTGATTTGGGTTCCTCTCGATGTGGGGAATCTAATTTTTTTTTATGACGTCACGTGTTTGGCCACCCTGTATACAATTAATTTTGCTTGACGTCGACAGATTCCGTTCGAAGCACTTGCCTAATAAACCTGTGAAGTTAATTTCACCGGACTATGTTCGGAATGCGCCTGACAATGTTGACTGCTTCCGTTCGAGAAGTTTGTCAAATAAATTGGAGAAATTCATTTCACCAGACTATGTTCTTTAATCCAGCCGACGATGACTATTCCCGTTTGAAGTGTTTGCATAATAAACTTGGCAAGTTAATTTCACCAGACTATATTTTTTAATCCAGGTGACGACCATCGACTAATCTGCTTCGAGGTGTCTTCCAAATAAATTTCTTTAATTTTACCAGACTATAACCCAATATTAGAAAAAAAACTGCTGAGGATTTTATGATTTAACGAAAAGTAAACGGGTTATTTTTGAAAGATTATCGTCTATAATCTCGGCGATAGTATAAAATCAACTGTCACACTGTTAATGAAAAATTATACGAATTTTTATGTAAAGTACTAGCCATATTATGAAAACAACTGTTGGGAAATTGGTTTTTGAATGGATATTTAAATTATAATGCAAGACATAATCAGGAAAAAATCACCATTTATTTATTTAAGTGCAAACTGGTAAACAATAACTACTAACGTCATGGATAATCATTTTTTAACATGATTCACAATGTGTGCAAAATATACTGGTAGTTTTTGTTGATTTTGTAAGTTTTTAAATATGGTCCACAAAATAATATAATGTTGTTAATAGGTCACATCAAATGAGACAAGAAGCAAAGGTTTATGTTGGCTGTGTTCAGAAATATAATACCATACCATATTTATGTTGCAACGTGTTTCCTCATGGATTGCAACACGTTTAAAGCTTTGTTGTAAATGTATTTTATTATAAATAAGGATAAATAAAATAATCGCGAAAATACTGTTTTGAAATGCGATCCTTCCGTAAACGAAGAGTGGCATACTACTAAAACATATTAATTTTATGAAGCGTTTGCTTGAGATTCCAAATATTCCTGGTATCTCTTTTTCTGTGCCTCGTATAACTTTTGTAATTTCTTTAACTGCCCTTTGCTGATCTCTTTACCTTCTGCATCGTGGGTAGGTAAACCCTGAAATAAAAATTTTCATCTGAAAACTCACCATGAACCAGCCTTTTTCGTTTCCTGCATGTTTTTGAGAAAAGCAATTTGAAGCAATCAGCCAAATAGAATGACCATGTTTTGATAACTTTTGGGCAATATCGCATTCTACTACATCTATTTAATTAAAATGCTCCTTTACTCACATCATCATCAAACTTTGAATATTTGTCAGTCTCTTTTTTGAATAACTCGCTAGGTGGTATCTTTTTCTGGGCTTCTTTAGCTGCAGCAGCTGCAACCATTTCAGCTTTCTTCCTCTCCTTTTCTGCAGCTTTTTCTTGTTCTGCTTTCCTTTTAGCTTCTTTTTCTTTAAGCAATGTTTCCTTATCTACTAACTTCACTGCACTTGGACCGCCTATATGAAAAAAAAAATAGTGGCTTAGTTGTCACGTATGAAGTTCATTGTATTTACCTGACCCAAAAATGACAGAACGAAGGACTTTTTAGGCATAAAATAATACTTCACTTACCCTCTCTGTCCTCTAATCTGACCCCAATATTTGGTAAAACTTCATCCCTGAGATTGTCACACTCTTTCAAGATTTCTGTGGCTTTCAACTTCCTAGCAGAATTCCTAATATTGTCTCTAAATTCTGCTAGTATGGACAGATAAGGCATTATTACACACTCCACCTGCAAGCAAAATTCAAAATCAATGCTCAGTTATTCGAATTTGTATAAAAACAAGAAGTCGGAAATCTGCACATGATACTCTTGACTCAACTTTACAAAAACAGTTATCTACATTGCTAAATACTATAACTTACGTTGTTTGAAGTGCTAGTGGAAACAGGGAAGCCTATCTTCGCAGGCTCAGAAATAGCCCCAAAAACGGATAATATTTTTGTTACATATGTGGCAATATCTTTCAGAAGTAACATATTTGGTGGCTTACGTTCCCGTAAATAAATATTACTACTTGTTACTATGTCTCTCAGAGAATCTAAGGCTCCTCTAGTATCCACGTTATCTAAAAACATGTTGATATGAAGATTGGTGGAGTTGGGAAATGTTTTTTGAATCTTACCACAAAGTGCAGCGTGAACGTTTTCTTGAACCTCTAGGAACTTACAATTCAATTGGATATCTTGATTATTCCATTTTGTAAAACTATTAATTGAAGATACTTCTTGACATAAGGGTCTTATAGTGTCCTTGATGTTTAAAAAGAATTCCTAAAAGCAGAATATTACTCTAATCTTGTATTTTGTTGTATTTTAAGATAGAATTTTGCATTTGGATGGAATCAGGGTTGAAAAAAAACATGTTTAAAAAATCATTTTCGTTTTTGTTTAAAACTGTTTTTTTTGTTTAAAGTACCGTTTGCCTTTGGGTAATTTTTTGCGTTGCGATCTCCAGCAGTCAAATGTGCGAAGTCGTAGCGTGGTGGTGTGTTTTGTTTTTTGTGCATTAAATATCGGCAAAAAAAGAAAGGCAATGACAGGGTCCCGTGTGGAAATATTTTAAGGAGACTGATGCCAGAGCTGGCTCGAAAATAAATAAAAGAGCAAAATGTTTAACCTGCAATATGGATATAGTGCCACTGGTGGCTAGAATGCGCAAGCGTATTAAAAATTGTAAACAACTTAAACAAGGAAGTTTGTTAGAAAAACAAAATATTCATATATCAGATAGTTCTGATACCGACAATGATGATGTTTCTACCGAACCTATTTCCTCAAACTTAAGTAGCTTAGAGAATTATGCAAAAAGGTAAGAAATACCGAATTGCTGTTAAATTTTGTTCAAATATGTTAAATATATAAGAATTAAGAATAAAACAGGTCCGTATTAAGGCTCGGTTTATACTTTTTGTTTGGGACAAGCAAATGTCTGTTGATCAATCGTATTGAATTTTCAGATATTATTAAAATTATTACATAGGTATATTTTATTTTTTAGATGGCTCGTCACAGACCTACCACACTACCAGCAATGTTAGTGCTTCCAGTTCAGCGTCATCCAGTTTTTCGCTATTGACGAGAAGGAAATAGAGACGTTGTCCAACTAAAATCGCGACTGGATTCATTCGTTGTCAAAACATGTAGCGAGTAGAAAAAAAAATTATATCCAAGTAGAACGCTTTGTTTATGCCACAAACTGTGCTTTTAGAGCAGTGGAACGCACCGAGTTTAAGCGGCTAATGGAAGTGTTGCGTCCAGGATATCAGCCACCTAATCGTCAGCAAATAGGCAACGAACTTCTTAGTAACGTATACTCAACTTTACAAGTAGAAATAAAAAAAGGAACTGGTAATAAATCAGTATGCCTGTCGGTTGATGGTTGAAGCAATATTGGAAATGATTCAATAGTGTGTGTGTCCGTAAATAATATTCAAGAAGGTAAAGTATATCTAATTGACACTGTTGACACTGAAGACAAAAGTCATACTTCTGAATACTTGTTAAATTTATTAGTGGAGTCTATAAGGCGTTGTTACGATGAAGCAGGTCTAGCCGATATGCTTACTTATGGGTGTTCTGCATACATTTTAAATTTATTTGCACCAGATATTCAGGTGCCCACTTTGCAAGACCACATAAAGAAAATAATAAAGTACTTTAGAAATGTACATTTCACAGCAGGCAAATATAAAATATCTGGCGGAAAAGCTCTGGTGATGCCACAAGATGTTAGATGGAACACTTTAGCTGATATTGACATCCCCGATTCAGTAAAGTAAAAAAAATAGCAATTGCCCTACATAAGATTGAACGAGATTACTGTACAATTAGCGAATGCACAAAAATTTGGATAGACCTATTTGTCTTTTTTAAAGAAAATGAAAATTGCACTGATTCAGATAGAAATCATTTTGTAAAAAGGTTTCATATGGCTATGTTTGCAGAACACTATCTTTCAAATATACTAGATCATCGATTCCAAGGATTGAAATTGAATCTAGAGCAACGCGAAGAAGGTCTCTATGTACATTTTCCATTATTTTATATTTTAAAAACATGGATTTAAGAATGTTTTTGAATCTTTGTTAAGTAAGATGGGTTGTATACTTTTATAGAAATTTGTTTAGTAACTTATTTAATGTTATCATACAAGTACTGGGTGCGCCATCTCTTATGTCGGTATTGAAAGATCGAATGACTTTGATATTTACAAACCGAGTGATTTGGTTATACGTGTTTCTGAAACGTAAATTTACTGCAAGTTTTAGTCATGAATTGCTTTACACCGAAACAACGCGCCGAAATAGTCACAATGTACATTGAAAATCGCCGTTCAGTTGTGTTAACGCAACGTGCATATCGTCGAAAATATCGTGGCAAACAGGCACCGTCTGACAACACTAACCGTCGTTTGGTTTCGAATTTTATTGAGTACGGGACAGTGGAAGATTCTCAACTTACCGTTCATCAACGACCAAGACGTTCCAATGAATTGGTTGAAGGGGTCAGAGACAGCGTTGCCCAGAACCCAAAAGTGTCATATCGTCACCGCGCTCAGCATTTTGGCATCAGTGGAACCACGTTGCGGCGCATTTTGAAGGATGATTTGCATTTGTTTCCTTATAAGGTGCAGTTAACACAAAAAATATTGCCAACGGACTATTCACGTCGCTTGGAATACGCCCAAACAGTCGCTCGCATGGTTGATGCTGAACATGATTTTTGGAAGCAAATTGTGATGACCGACGAGGCCCATTTCACGCTTTCTGGCGGCGTTAATAAGCAAAACTACCGTATTTGGGGAACGGAAAATCCACATGAGATCCACGAAATGCCGTTGCATGACCGGAAAGTGACTGTTTGGGCCGGCGTTTGCGCCAAAACCATCATTGGGCCATTTTTCTTCAACGAAAACGAAACAGACGATGGAAATCGATATCGGTGGATGTTGGCTCATTATGTCTGCCCACAAATGCGTGAAAAAGGTCTTGATGGTTACTGGTTTCAAGAAGACGGTTCGCCATGCCACACCGCAAATGAAACAATCCAGTTTCTGCAACGAAAATTCCCTGAACGTCTGATGTCAAAAAGAGGTGACATTGACTGGCCACCCAGGTCTCCAGACGGACCCCCTCCGGACTTCTTCTTGTGGGATTATTTGCAAAGTCAAGTATACGCCAGCAAGCCCCAGACCACTGAAGAACTCAAGGCAAACATTCGCACCACAATCGCCGCTATACCACCAGAGATGCTCGAAAAAGTAATCGAAACGAAGCAAAACGGGCACATTTTGTTTTGGCCAATAAAGGTGGTCACTTGATAGATGTGTTCAAAAACTAGTCCCAATAAATTGTAAAGGACCATATTTAATAAGAATACCCGATATATAGAAATCAGTTTTTCGTTTTCAAAGTTATTTCATGTTTACATACCGACATAAAAGATGGCGCACCGTGTAAATACATAGTCATATTATATTATGATTATTCTGTTGCTTGTAGTGTACTAGTATTAGAGTTCAATGCTGCAATTAAGTTCACTCGTTCGTTAAGAAACATAGTTTTTTCCCTAGTTCCCTAGTTTCATGTTTGCTTAATTAATAAAAAATACACTATATTTTTCAGTACCTATGTGTTTTAACATATGGCCCTTTTAGTTTCGTATTGTAAAATAAAATCAATTTTAATCATACCTTAAAAAATATAAAGAAAAAACCTGAATAATTCACAAACGACAAAAAAACAGTGTTTAAAACAAATTGGTTTACAACACCTTCATTGTGTTTAATACACCCGTTTTAAACATTTTGATTAAAACATAACAACCCTGGATGGAATATAAAATAATACTTACATTGAACATTTTTTCATATTGTAAAGCACATTCCATAGTATTTTGACTGTAGTCCAGAGTGTCTTTCCACGAGTGTAAAAGAAACGCAAATCTCAACTGCCTAGCACTGTATTTCGCTAAAGCTTGCTGTATGCTGACAAAGTTTTTCAGGGATTTCGACATCTTGCAGCCAGCAATTGTCAAATGGCCTGAGTGCAGGAAATACTTTACCCATTCTGGAGTTTCAAAGTATGCCTAAAAATAAGATTTAAAGATATAAATTATGAAAAATCTCAAAAGCGGAGATATAGCACTCACCTCAGTTTGGGCAATCTCATTATCATGATGCGGAAACCTAAGATCAATTCCACCTGTGTGTATATCCAAAGTGTTCCCAGCTATCTCTGATGCCATTACTGAGCATTCTATGTGCCAGCCTGGCCTACCCTGACCCCAAGGTGAATCCCACGCAGGTTCGCCAGGTTTACTTCGTTTCCATAGAGCAAAGTCGTTAGGAGAACGTTTGTCGGAGAGATGCTGGGTTGTTGTTAGGTCACCTAAAGCGTTGATAATAAAGACTAACTCGCATTGGAAAATGAAAAAAAAAATCTACCGCAATACCGCAAATCTCCAATCATCCAAATTGAATACACATTTCTGAGATTGATGAATGGGTAAAAAAACAGTAACTCTTTAAAATTATTGTCTGGTAACACATTCTCAGATGGCACTATAAGAAACTAGTAATTCTGGCGTTGATGCTGCAAGTTGAATCAACAATGAAAGGATGCAAATGGGACAACTGAAAACTTTTATAAATCTAGTCATTCCATCTGTTTGGACTTTAATCATAAAAACAACAAGGAAGTACTAATAAAAGAATTTTGGGTCAAAGTTGTAAGGGCAGTTAGATATGCATCAGTAAACATAAGATGAAATTTTTTTGGTAAATAGAATCTCAGCCTATAGTAGTTGATATTAGAAATCATTAATGGAAATTTGTATACACTTAATTTGAAAATACGCACTTGTGCAATTGTTGATCGTAATGTTGTAAATCAATAGATGAAAAAGTATCACAAGTTTATTATTTCATAACAACTAATAGACTAATCAATGACAAATTATTTAACAAGCTATATTTGAAAATATACAATCAATATTTATTATTGGATTAATAATATGGGAATTACGGACATGTGGAATCTTCATATATATTTTACCTTCTCCCTCCTGCAAACTATTTGTATCTCCATATGCTTCAGGAACTAATTTTGCATAATGGTGGTTATCCTTTTTATCAAAAGCCCCTACATCAAAGTAGACTGATCCATTAGAAGCATAGGCATAGCCATTTGAGATTATTTTCTGTATGTATGCTACAATTTCTGGAACATATTCACTAACTCTTGTTAGGACATTGGGTGGAAGTATCTGAAATAGTTACATATATCAAATGCAAATCTGGATATTTCAATTTGCATCTGCATCTTTCTTAAATTTTGCTGGAACATTCAAATTAAAATATTCAATATATTTAAGCCTTGTGATTTGGGTCAAAATATCGAGTATGTATAAATGACACAATATAGCACAGTTAAAGTCATAAGTAGGTTGATATTCATGTTTTTCATAGATTTTGTTTCAGAAAAGTTGTGTGATCCTCTTTATCACCAAATATCATTATTTGCTTAGCAAAACAAAGCATTTTCTATATACTTACATTGAGGGCTTGCATATCTTTGTGAAACTCTGCCTCAAAATGCCTAGGCAATGTTGTAAATATGGCATTATCTGTCACTGTGCTGCCATACTGGATGTCAAGCCAGTCAGATAATGGATCTTTGCAATCTTCTAGGAATGTTGCTTTAGACTGTTCAATCACCCCATTTTTACCAGACTTAACTGCTTTCTCAAGGTTTTCTATGGATGATGTTAGCCTAGAAATATTATATCCATAATTGAATTTATGCAATCATAGACTTATACAAAAAACGCATATTGTCTTACCTTGTTAACAGTTTTTCATACATATGTTTTTTATCAGGATCTGCAGCTTTCTTCACCTTACTGGACAAGTTTTCTAAAACTTGTTTTGAATCATCTATCACTTTTTCTAAGTTATGATTTTCCTTAATATATTTTTCATATAAGTAGTTTTGTCTAGCTCTTTTGATGATCTTATCATCAATATCAGTAATGTTCATAACATAGAAAATATTATATCCAAAATAATCTGTTAGCACTCTTCGGAGTATATCAAAAGTTATGTAAGATCTAGAACAAATAATTCATATTAACCCTCTAGTGGTTTATATCTACAGCTGATAGGTAAAACAGGTTGGGTTTGATATGCAAGTTTTATCGTGTAATACTCTGGGTAGGGCCTAAAAGTTAAATAGTTATGGGATGACATACAGGTTTAGATAATAACTTTTGTTTTTATAAAGTTATAAACTATAGTTTTTGCGAGTTCATCAACGCTTGATCAAATAAGCGATTTGAGAAAAAAAAAATCTCTAGCAGATATTCCTCTTTTGTTACTAAACTAAGTTGTATAATATTCTTGTGTTGGACCCTAAAAGTTCAAGCTATGTGATAAGTTGAGTTGAGAACAGAGCACCACAAACTGGCAAAATAAAGAAAAAGAGGGCCACCACTGTGAAACTAAAAATAAATCATATTACTTTATTTATAAATAATGAACAATAATGAAAAAATAAACAATAAGTTTATATATTTTTTTTATGTATTTAGTTATGTAATTATAATAATTAGTTATTTATTTAGTAAGTATACTCAGAGGCAATAACGTCGCAGGTTGCCAACAGCTGCTCTAAACCTATATGTAATCCTATAGCTATTTATCTTTTAGGGTTCTAAAGAGAATATTGTACGACTTAATTCAATAACAAAAGAAAAATGTATACCTGCATTTAAAATTTTAACTTATTTCAAATTGCTTATTTGATGAGTCTTAACTATATAATATCATATCTATACAGCTTCCCCTTAAGCAGTCTTGCATTTATGTCAATTGGACAAGATATATTGGACTCAATAAATGTAGATCCCCTTAAGCAGTCTTGCATTTATGTCAATTGGACAAGATATATTGGACTCAATAAATGTAGATAAAAAAAATTAATATAATGATATTACAAACTAATATATTAATAATTACTTGACCCATATTGTGTAGGAGACATGAATCTGCCTGGAAAGTATGTTGCATTACAATAAATGAGACTGATAATATAGAAGTTATATCTAGTGTTTATCCGACAGATTTCATTTACCATTCTAAGAGAAATTTAAAATCTTACCTTGCATGTCCCATATGTGAGGCATCATAAACTGTTGGTCCACAGCTGTACCAAGTTACTCTGTTCCCACTAGTAGGCACAAACACTTCTTTTTGCCTTGTTAAACTGTTGTATAGTTTTAGAACGGGCTTACCATTGCCTTGCGGCGGGTTCCAACTGGGTTGAGACCGTTTAGACATAATTATCTGCTATTATTCAACGAACCACCGAATCTTTTGATAATACCTCGAAAATAGTCCTGCGATTACGTCATTTACAACACCACGACACATTCAATTCATCATTTAAGGAAAAACAAATTCCTTACAAAAGAAAACGTGTACAATACAGCAAGTAGAACATTTGAGGGTGAGGTTAGGTCAGCTGCTCTGTGTCATTATTTCAGTCACTGTCAGAAAAGGTTTCGTTGAACGGTTGATTGGAGGTTAGATATCACGCTCACAGATGGCAGCAGCAGCTTTCTCGTTACGAGCTTAGAAACTACTTACTAGATACTAGATGGAGACACATTTCATCTAAATTGTCTTTTATCCTTTTGAATCAAATTCTTGGAAAACTAAATAGTATTAGGTAGTATTATTGAATAAATTTTATTCAATGAACCCACCGCAATGGAATTACTGCAAAGTTATTTAGTGGAACACTTGCATAGCTGTACGTCCGCTATATGAAACCACATACATATTATGTTTGACTTTCCTTCTTTTTAAAAATGTTCGGACCACCACGGCGGATTTTTTAGAAGGACAATAATAAAGTTTATCTTGTTGTTTTAGGTACCGCTTTGATGACAGATTATCTTAGATTTTTTAATTCCTGTGTGTACCTATTAGTCGCAACGGCTGAACCCCATTCGTAGTCCATTTACGCAACAAAACATAACATGCCTAAAAGCGAGATTGTACAGGACCGTATTTTCCTCAATAGTCTTGGAATAATCTAATAAAATAAATGATTATTTTTATAGAAAGAAGTGCACACACCATTCTTCATGCGCTGGAACTACTTGACTTATCGCCCGAATGGTTAATATTAATTATTACAGGTTCAATTTGAATATCGATCATATTGTCCAGATCTCACATTTTTGTTTCGATTGTCTCTTGTACGTGACGGGTGCAATCTTTCCAATGATTTGCCATCATTCTGTTGACAGCTTCATAAAACAAATTTTTCACATCAGAAAATTTTGAATGTTCTATTGTTTGAAGCCACAAAGTTTTTTATATTTACCCAAATCATTTCAATGGGATTTAATTCGCAGCGATAAGGGGGTAGCTTTAAAAGGTTCTTATTTTGGTTTTTAGCCATTTCGTCAATAATATTATGATTATAGGTATTTATATACTTGTGTTGCCTGACTAGATGGATAAGTTCTGCTTTGATCATATTTCCATTGAAATTATTGTCTTTTGATAGGAGCCATTGTTGAATTTCTGCCTTTCTTGTGAACATTGTGGGATTTTTTTCTAGTTTCCTAGTGTGGTATGCAGCATTATGAAGTACAATGATGGCATTGTCGCCAAGCTATGGGAGCGTTTCTTCAAACCATCGACCATTTGACTAAAATGCTCATAGGGCAGTGGGGACAAAGCCATTTTCACTGCCAATGTGGTTTTCCTTTTCCTGGAAATAATTGTTTCATATAATATTCAAGAAAACTAATAATAATACAAGCAGCGTATCTAATAGGTGTTGGTTCCAAATGTACCAGATAGATATAGCTAAGTTTAGCGTAGCTAAGTTTTCAGCGTGGGCTCATAGATTCAGTATACTTGACACCATTTCTACAACACAAATGACGAATTGGTTAGATACACATACCTGACGGATTCTTTATACCAGTGGTCGGTCCATCTAAGAAGGCTTGTCTTGCTGATTCAATTGTATAGTCAGCCCATACCCAGGTTTTGTATGTCCTGCATTTACCCAGGTTTCATCCAAGTAATAAATCTTCCTGCCCTGATCGGGGTGTTTCTTTTTTGATTTTAAATAATTTCTTCCTGTCGAGTCCTACACTTGTACAGGTATGACCAATAGCTATTGCAACACTTAGGCGGCTGCCGGTTTGCCGCGCTGCATCTCTGTTGTAAATGGACTACGAATAGGGTATAGTTGAACGACGCTGTTTAGTCGAGAGGCTAGACAGATAATTTTATTCAATGGGTGATTATTAAGCTAGTTGTCGACTACATCACTACATGATTATTTGATTAATTAGTATCTCCAGTGTCACCCATTCCGTCTTTGCCCTATTGACACACGGGACCATTGCCCAGGGCTCCAGCTTGATGGGAGGCGAAAAAATGCCCGAAATTCAAAAGAAAGTTAAAACAAATCTGACTATATCCTCCCTATCCTTCTCCCCGCTGTTAGCCTCGTAGGGTTGCTATCTCGTACAAATAGGAAAGTCACCTGTCTTTTAATCCTTGATCCCTTTATAACTCGGAAAGCATTCGGATTTTAGTGAAATTTTGACACGTTACTAGTATGTCAAAGACGAAAAAGCTTTGTGGGTTTTGAGAATTGATCTAATGGCTACGGGCGCAAAATGAAAAAACAAAACTTTAATGCTGATGACTTCATGACTCGCCATGGAAAGGAGGTGGGCTGATAAGTGCCATTTTTCGTCCATCAGCGAATAGATATAACGCATATATTTATGAAGAGTACATACTCCATAACAAAGAAGAAGACATACTTATTTCAAATGAAAACTGAAATTCTTGGTATACATAAATTAAATAATTATTTGAGTATTATATATACGAGTATATTAGACAATAATAAAACATATATATCTATATATATATATATATATATATATATGTATATATGTTTATTAGACAATAATGAAAGATAATCAGTTTTCATATACTTAATATATTTTTTACTAATCTTCTTCCTTGTCTTCTTCATTCGAATCACTATCAGTCCATCCTTCAGTATCATCAGAGGTACTTGTTATGATCTGCATCCAGGACACAACTTAGAACCAATCTGCAGATCACAGTTTTTAGATTTTCTAAGTATTGCTATAATGTTTTTGTTCGAGTAGCTACGGAAATCACTGTTTGTCTTTCGTTACGTTTTACAACAATTACACTGGCATCCAGGCATTATTGTTTTATCAAGTTTTTCAATAAACGTTGAACGCGACAGCACAGCAAAGTTTCTATACCTTTACTACGTAAATACTTTTCGAACGCGAAAAATCATGTCTGAACACGCAGCGATTGCACCGTTACTCACACTCTCCCGCAGCATATATTACGTATTTTTGGATTGATGCGCTTACTGAACCAAAACAAGTAAATAGCTTATAATAAGTACGCTTACTGAGCATTAAAGCTAATGTGGTTCATGAAACGCTTCGTAGGGAAAACATTTTTCAAAGATCGAAAAACAACAAAAATGTACAAAAAGCGCTAAATACTCTATTTTTTGGCAATAATTTCTGAACCATATAACATTATTTATACCGCTATTCCTTCTAATGCTGTCGAACTTGGGGTGTGGAGATTTGGAAAGAATGTGCATGAAAGTAAGACTCCATTGTTTAGCTGAATGATATCACATTTTTAATTTCTGTTTGATGTACGAAGGTTTCCCAAGTACAATGTATTATAGTTTTTTTTATACCGAAGCAGCCGCGCAGGCAGAAGCATAAGTCAGAGGGCACTGCGGCTGCTATGAGGATCCCAAAGAAACTCTGTTAAGCCTTCCTCTGAACAACATTGAGCATGGATAATGTAGTCGGGGCGGCAGCACTCCAAACATGTGAGCAGTACTCGAGGCTAGATCTTATCTGGGCCTTGGATAGAGTGAGGAGGACATCTGGAGAAAAGTATTTGTTAGCCCTAATCAAATAACCTAGCTTTTTACCAGCAGCTGTCGCTATTGACGAGATGTGTTCGTGCCAGTCCTCGTTGATCTGGACTCCGATCAGCCGAAACGAACGGCTCTTTAGCAGATCTCAGCTATTCATTGAAACCGGATGAGCGCTAGAATACTTTTGTTTGTCAAGGTACAGTACTGTCTTTTGGAAACATTAAATTGTGCAAGATTGTTGCGTCCCCAAGCAGTGACAACCTTCAGAGAGGGAGTCGCTGCTAGACTTCTTTTTTCCAGCACACCGACAGAGATCGGCTTGTCACTTTGAATTCCTGCATGTAGAGTGCTTTCATCAGCAAAGCTGTAGATGGGATTGCTCGCACAGGAAAGGAAGTCGTTGATATGTCGTAGATGTGTTCTAGGCAGCAGCGGTGGCCGCAGTAGTAGACTCTTCGGTCGCCGTGCGCTGTGCGGGTTCGAATCCCGTCCCAGGAGAAACTTTTCTCTTGGCTATGGATGTTGTGATTTTCCGTAGGTGGCAGGTGGTCTCTGACTGTCGAACGCGGAGGTACCACCCGGCGGATCTCGTAGGCGAGCCAGAATGTGTGCATATTGCATGCACACGTGTTCCCTCGCCAGAGTCCGTGTGGCGTTCCCCCTTTCCCCTGTATCCCCCTATAGCCCCACGGTACCCAATGGGTGTTTAGGCCTTAGGCCTTCGTGGAAGTTGGAGTATAAAGAAAAAAATGTAAGAGGAAGTGTGTGGGAGCCAAGAACGAGGAGAACCCGTCAATTATGAAGGATATTTTACGGCCAGAGAAAAAGTCAGCTCCTCATCTGCAAAGCTTCTCTGGAAGGTCATAGGGTGAAAGTTTGCATAACAGAGCAGCATGCCACAGCTGATTGAACGCTCAGGTGGCCAAAACATGGGATAATAAACATAAATTAAAACATGTATGTATATGTGGTTTGATTCGGCCAGAGAATCGACATGGAAACAACTACAGGATAGGTTTCAGGAGTTACCTGTGCATGATCTGGTTTTACAAATTTTGGTAATTCCAAAATCGGGTGAACAAGAGTTATCAAACTCTTTACAGCAGTCGCATCAAGCGATTATTAATTAAGTGATGACAGTATTGTGAGAGAAGTAACAACCTTCTTGACGCCTTTTTTTCTAAGAAGCGCCTAAGAAATTATTGTTCACCTAGAACTACACATTCAGAACACTAAAAACTCCTTCATCACCGTTAAAATATTAATACCGAATTTCGGCAAAGCCATGAAACATGCGAGTTACCTATTGGTTTGCAAATTTTGGGATAAATAAGTAACATGAAGATCAGGCGGTTACACAATGTTTTCGGACTTCCTCTTACGAAACTACATCCTCCGTCACAATGGAGTTATACCTAAAAATTGTGAAATTCGACCAGAAGATGATCTTACGGGGGGCAAGCCCCCTGGGCCACCCCTTGATATACGTCACTGACTGAATTCTTTGGTAGATGGTATGCGAAATACGAAAATATTCAGGATAATAATGAAATGGTTTTCGATAAAAGAAAGCATGCTTGTTACAAATAAAAAAGACAGGTACGACGTTTTTGAAATAAACAGTAAACGTATTTTTGTGCTTGTTTGT